GTTAAGTTAGGTTAGGTTAGGCTAGTGTTAGATTAGTTATGGTTAGGTTAGGTTGGTTTTAGATTAAGTTATGGTTAGGTTAGGTTCTGGGGTGTGTTAGGCCGCTGTTCTTACCTTAGGATCCTGTGGAACCCCTGACAAGTCCCTCCCTCTCTCCCTTATGTCAACGTGTTTCATTACTCTCCGCCCTCTAACTGCCGCCATAAGAATAATGACGCTAATTTAGGAGTTTAGATTGAACTTTGTATTTTGGCCTTAATAATAATAATAATAATAATAATAATAATAATAATTTGATGATTAGAGTAGAAATTATAATAAATATTCCAAATATGACAGATATGGTAAACAAAGTAAAAATTAGGGGCATTACATCCTCAAATACCCACTTTTATTCATAGTAAATAACGAACATTAAAAAGAGAAAATCACTCCTTAAGTCCAGTAAATATATTTTTTACTCGAGTTAAAACTTACAGAGAGAACGAGAGAATTTTAAGTAAAGAGACAAATAGAGAGAGAAATTTAAGAAACAGTTTGGAGAGGGAGGAAAGATGAAGGGGAGGAAAGGCGTGACAGAAAGAAGGAAATGAAACCAGGAAGAAACGAAAAAAAATATCGAGAATAAGTTTTAACCGAGATCGGCAAACTGGATATGTGGTGGGGGAGCAAGACGCCAGGTCGGCGGGTTTGAGGGCGCGGCCTAGCGAGAATTAGCCTAGTTATAGCCAACCTCAAGGGCAGCCCGCCGCCCCTGCCCCCAGGCCACTCCTCCCTTTGTTCTTCTTCCCCGCTCTTTATCCACCTTTTCTTCATTATCTTTACGTTATTTTATTCCTAATTTTGGCTTTTATCTTAATATTATTTTCTTAATTTTGCGTATACTTTTTTGTAAAAGTTTAATGCAGAATTTGTCATGTTTTTATATTATGTTCTGTCTAATTAGTAGCATTTCTTCGTGAATATTGTCTTGTTTTCTCAATATCAATTTCTAGGTATATATATTTTCTTAATGGCACTTAAAAAGGGCGACTTTTTTTGTTTACCTTTTATCCTCTTTTCTCTCATTTTTGGCGACCTATTGTTTTGTTTTGTTTTTATTTCATCTCTCTGGATTTTCTCATATTTGTTTATGACAAATAAATAAGCAGATAAACAAAACAATCAAGCACATTGTATATTGTTTGTATACTGTGGGGTATGATATTTGGTTCACACTCAGGATGGAATGGAGAAAGGAAACTCACAATGTGCTCTCTATATACATGTTGTATTGGATGTACAATGCAGCTTGGTGCTGGGAAGGCAGCATGGTTACAAGCGTGATGTAGAGAGAGCTGGTTGGTGAGGACGCTCAGAGAAGGACAGCTTGTGGGTCGCCATGCTCGCCGGCGGGAGCGAGGACCTCCAGGCAGGCGGAGGAGGAGCGAGGGCCGCCAGGCAGCGGCGGAGGAGGAGGTGTGTTGCTGGCTGGTTGGTGTGGGTAGAAAGAGGCAGGTCACTACGAGGTCAGGTCTTAAATAGCGGGGGGTAGGCGTGGCTTAGTAGTTGACCCCCGCTCCGTGATGTATGGCGGCGCTGGTTGACCTAGACCACGAGGCATACACTGGGGAATTGGTGGGGTCGGCTACTCAGCGACAAACAGCGTTTGTAGGGGAGAAATCCACTACAATACTCCCCCTTCCCTCCAGGCGGTGTAGGAGACTTGTTGTCTGCAGGGTTGCTTAGCACATGTGAGGCAGAACGGGCGGTGCATGCCTCATGTGAGACAACGGCGATGGCGTGGATGAGCCTGTCGCTGGATACAACTGTCTATATACACACTATCTGTGGGAGAAGAGAGGGAGAAAAAGAGTGTGTGGAGGCGATGAATGTTGTGCTTCCCTCACGGCAGGTACAGAGTCGTCAGATGCGCCTGCTGGGGTGTGTGGGCCTGGGTCAGGAGCAGGGGCTGCGTCAGCAGAAGCGGATGAGGGCTCGTGACAGCAGCTGGGTCCACGACAGCAGCAGGGTGCAGGACATTAGCAGGGAGTACCTGAGGGAGAAAAGAGGGGTGTGTGGGTCCGCACTCAGGAACAGAGGCCGCATCAGGGGCGGCAGGGGTTACTGCTGGGCTGGGGTCGGCGTCTGAGGCAGGACGGGTGTGCTGGGGTCGAAAGAGGAGGGACTGTCTGCTTAGAGTAGCAGAGCTGCTCTAGGGTGTCTAACCTGAGGTGTAGAGACAGTAGCTGTAGAGCCGATGAGAGTTGCTTCTGGGTGGATAAGCCAGTCTTCCATGTTGCTTGAAGACTGGGAGCGTGATCAGTTTCTCCTCCATCCTGTGTGAGTGCGAATCTCCGGGAGTCACCATTTGTGGGGTATGATGTTTGGTTCACACTCAGGATGGAATGGAGAAAGGAAACTCACAATGTGCTCTCTATATACATGTTGTATTGGATGTACAATGCAGCTTGGTGCTGGGAAGGCAGCATGGTTACAAGCGTGATGTAGAGAGAGCTGGTTGGTGAGGACGCTCAGAGAAGGACAGCTTGTGGGTCGCCATGCTCGCCGGCGGGAGCGAGGACCTCCAGGCAGGCGGAGGAGGAGTGAGGGCCGCCAGGCAGCGGCGGAGGAGGAGGTGTGTTGCTGGCTGGTTGGTGTGGGTAGAAAGAGGCAGGTCACTACGAGGTCAGGTCTTAAATAGCGGGGGGTAGGCGTGGCTTAGTAGTTGACCCCCGCTCCGTGATGTATGGCGGCGCTGGTTGACCTAGACCACGAGGCATACACTGGGGAATTGGTGGGGTCGGCTACTCAGCGACAAACAGCGTTTGTAGGGGAGAAATCCACTACAATACCTCTATCTATAATACATTGCACTCTATGTACAGTTGAGGACAAAATTCCCTGGACACTTGGCAGGAGCTGGAGTACATGAGGATCATTAGGTGAGGAGAGATTAGATTTTCAAAGTACTGTACTATATTTTCTTAGATTTTTCTTTGTTATAAAAAGGGGCTTTTCTCCCATTTTGTGGTTCTGACGTAATGCGACGAAAAACAGCATTAGATGTAAATTAGCCAATTATATCATCCAGAAGTAGATGCCAGATAATGCCAAGTGTTCAGAGAGTTCTGTCTGCAACTGTACATTGTATACCTATATACACGAGTGTTTTAGGGCTAAATATGACCTTGACCTTGAATTATCATGGAACTTTGAATCATTCTGAAGGTTATATCGATCAGGTATTCTCAAAACTATAAGATATGAGACCAAGATCATCAAAATCGGCCCAGTTGTTCCTGAGATATATGTCAGTTTGTGATTAAGGCTGTGAAATTGAGGCAGTCATTTTGAATTTGCTCAAAATGGTTGCCAGAGTGAGATTCTAGTGTCCCCAACCTGGATATGTTTCTACGTGGCAAAAGGTAACTTCATACCAAATTTCACACTTTTTGCCAGCTCTGAACGATTTTCGCATAAATCCACCCTACTAGAGTGCCATTCAGCCTTGGTTCCCCCCTATATATGCCACACTGGCACTAGGTTACACATGTATTCATAGTACATGTACACGATACTTATTATAATGCATTTTCAAAGCATTTTGGCCATTTATATCTAATAAATTTTACCCAAAATTCTACCTCCAAGCGTCATCACACACCACTGGTCTGACTGCATGGTTCACTTTTGACACAGACCTTTTTCCTTCAGATACTGTCAGTATCGTCACTTGGACTGCTAGATATATTCACGTATAAAAACTTCTTTATCCAAATTTCTATTTGCAAGAATTCTAGTAGTTTTTCTTACAGGTTGACTGATAATTTAGATTTCATCGACGCTTAGGACAGCATCGACGAAGGCGCTAGCTGTATATTGTACAGTATTTGCAAGTTTTATGTCAGTCTTTAGCCTAAATTAACTTCCAAACCTGTCTCCCTCCACAAAAATCCACTTTCAATTATATTTCACCGAGGACAAAGCTAAAATTTAAGTTAAAACATAATACTGTAGAGTACATGCAGCTTGTAGACATTTTTTGTCCATAACAAAAAGATACAAACCTATCACATTGCCAATCCATAATAATGATCCTCAGTTCCTGCACGTTTTTTATTCCCACCAGAGGCGGATGCCAAAAAATTGTGAAAGGGAGGATAGGTACATAGAGAACTCGGTCCATACTCCACACATAGTTTCTTCTTTAAATATTATAATTCTTAAGTATTTTAATGTGTTTACTTTTTATTTAAAAATAAATAAAAAATCTATGTCACCAAAATTGGGGTCACAGCCCAAATAGCATTTATTTACAGGGTATTCACCCGAGATGGCAGGGTACAATATTTCACAATGTAAAAGGCTAAAGATTGACAGTACACACAATACAGTACTGTATAAGCAGTTTTGTCCATCACACAAGGAGACAACCCCCCTCACTATTCCATTAATCCATAACATTAATTCTCACTTCCGGTGCTTTTTACATTCCAGCCAATATTATTCAGTTATTCACCCAAGTTGGCAGTGTATTGTTGACAATCATAGATAATCATAGCTCTAGAGCTCTCAGCAACTGATGTGAATTCTTACCATCGAGTGGAAACCAAGCCAATGTTGTCAACAGCACGAAATTTGAGCTAGCAGCTGAATTGGCTGGTACGTAGCCTACCACAACCAGCCGATTAGGCCGATTCATAGCACAAAATTTAAGATGGAAAGTGGCTAGAAAAGTGTTCTTCTCCTGAAGCTTAGCATGGCTTTAATATTTGGATACTGTATTCGAAATAATGACAGATCTAGTACAGTAGTTGTATTCTATTTTTAATTCTTCATATTCAATCAATAATTTCATACTATATTAACTTTATCATGCAACTTTAAATTTTTGCTGGGATATAAAGTCAGTCTCATCTCTGGTTCAGTATCAAAGATGGTTATACATACATTAAACATTCTGTTCACACCTTGTATATAGGTAAAACACATGGTCACTGAAGAAAAACACTGCCATATCAAATCTAAAATTTTAATAACATCATCTCCACTCAATGCAGAAAATGGTCATCAGTAACTTTACAAACATTAGTCTGATGGTACTCTGCAGTACAGTGCAGGGTATATAAATTACTGTCAGTTTATGCACAGGCACATTAGCTTTATAAACAATGATATCCTATTTTTTCACAGTGAAATAATGAATTCGAATTCCATGACAGGTTTACCTATAAACTAAATCACTAATTCCACAGGTGAAGCCATTAATACAATATATGCAACACAATATGGATATCTCTTTAATTTGTAATACAGTACAAGTATACTGTGCAGGTACTGTATATATCCATAAAAATGGTACTGCATTTTAGGGATAAAAATCCACCCAAGTCTTAAAACACAAGTAAAACTGGATATTAGTGCATGCAGTACCATACAGTACTACTGGCAAAATTTACTGTTTTTCTTAATATCTGTTTTCCAAGCTTATCATAACCAAACTATTCCTTCCTAAAGTAGATAGGTTCTGATAATTTAGAGTTTATATTATGATTTATCTTCATAATTGGTTAATATGCAAAGTTCAATCTGAATTAGGAAACCAAGAAAAGTAAAATTTGAACTGTACGTATATAAAAACTACAGTACAGTAATATATGTTGCAATTATCCCTGTAATGCATACAATATTGTCTACACATGTATATACTATGTGTATAAAAACTGATAGACACATAATTACACACAGCTCCTAGCATGTCGCCTCCTTTGAATTATGCTGTGAAAATGATGACAAAACTCTCAGAGCATTTTCATTAGCTTCCTCCAAGGTCATCACCTCTAACATCAGGATACAGTTCATGATAGCCACCATTTCACCCTGCTTTTTGGCCTTCACCCAGATGCGTCCATTAAAACCTACTACTATTGTGTACTTAAACATCTTGCTAATGGTCAGAAGGAAAGAATTTTTGGGATTGACAATCAGTCGAGCAACGTGTAACGAGACGTTGAACAAAAGACCACCTTCAGGAAGGGGCCCCATGCCTACAGCTCTATCATACGTATCAATACACACTAACTCGGGCTCCATATCTTTGTTAGCTACCAGAAGTTGTCCAAAAATAAGGTCACCCACTTTCATTTCTTTCTTAGTCTTTTTTGAGGCATTTTCAAATGACAAATATGATATAGTTGCTTGCTCACTTGCTCCTATGTCTATTATATAATTATCACCCTTTTTCTTCAAAACCGTCCCAATGACAAACTCCCTCTTCTGTGGAATGTAGCGTTTCTGATGTGAGTCAACATAATATAGCCTCTTTAATGTCTTCTTCAAAAGTCCAGGTCTAGTTGCACGGATTACGTTGTCCTCCCACCGTAATCCCGGGCCAATAAAGATACGTTCCTTGTTTCTGTCAGGGTTATACTGTAGGACCTCATCCCCTGGAAGAACCACTTTGAGGACCTCAACTCCAGCTACCCTACATCCAAAGATAAGAACACAGGTTAGTATAGGACATAAAACATAAAAGTCAACAACTTAGCTTTAATGTTCTCAGTTTTATGGATTTAACATACAGTACAGTGGTCCCTCGGTTAACGAACGCCTTGATTAACAAAATTTCGGTTAACAAATTACCTTCCATAAGATTATTCAATTCGGTTAACGAAAAAAATGTGATTAACGAATTCCTCTCAACATGTTTTCGCTTGCTCACCAGCTGGGATATTAGTCCGCCAATACAGTAATCGGTTCTAGGGCTTAAATTCGTTCCCATTTGAGTAAATATCAAGAAGGTTGTACTATTCAATAATTTTCCAAGTTTTATATTAAATTATTTAGTCATTTTAACAATTATTTAACACAATTGAAGTACAGGAAACTAGTTTTTAGTGCGCCAAACAGCCACTCAACTCACCAAACAGGTGTCAGTTTGTATCTCTGGTCAGTAGAGGTAACATCTTGCTTGAGACTCTCTTGAACATAAACTATTTATACGTTTTTACAGTACAATTACTGGTCATTCTGAAATTTATTTACATATTGACAATATATAGTGCAGTGTTGATTTAAAGAAAATAATCTTGAATTACACATAGTTAACTTAAAATTTTATGGGTGAAATGATAGCATGAAACATGGGGTAATTTCTCTTCCACCCCCCACTTCCTTTACTTCTCCTTCTCCTCCACCCCCACTTCTAATTCCCATCATCATCATCATCAACCAGGAGCCATCTACGTACACACCTCAAAGTAAGTGTACTTTATTGCATTGATTTTTACTTTGTATGTAATTTTCGGTGAGCTGGAACCAATTACCCAAAATCCCATTGAAACAATGGTTTCGGTTAACGAACAATCTTCTGGAACAAATTGTGTTCGTTAACCGAGGGACCACTGTACTGAATTTCAAAAGAAATCATATAAAGCTTAAACACTCAGTTTATTTTATCTGATGATTTAACACCACAACATAACCCCAGGTAGTGTTAAGGTGTTTATTCATCAGGTGAAATAAGTTTGGGTGCTTAATCTTCACATGATCCTTCAAATGTGTCTAAATAACACAATATTCTCAGTGACAGAATCATTGTTAAGAAAATAGCAGGGAGGTTATGGCCTTGACACCTCTTAACAAAGTGACAAAAACCACCACTGAATTATGTCTCATTTGAGCAAGGTTGAGCTACAGTACAGAATAATATATACTGTGCGGTTGCGCGCTAGCCAAGCACGAGCGTTCAAACTTTCACCAGGCACGAAGGGCCCACGTTCACTTGTAATTACTATACAAACACACGCACATCATACAGTACATTGTACTACAATTTCATTGTGTCAAAAGAAATATACCATACAGTACAATAATTGTTATATGACAGTTTTCTGCTGTAGTGAATCTTCATGTGATCCCAAAGATCCTTTTAAAGCATGTACAGTAATGAATGTCATAAAATTGGATTGGATTTGTGTAACCAATATTCAAAAAGGCTTTCATTGTTGCTGCTGCAAAATTTTACTTTTCAAATTAATGAGGTAAATGTGGTACAGTAAATCCAGTCAGAAATTAATTTCCAACACCTAACATCATCGCTACAACGAATTAAAAATTATATCAATGAACTACGTCTGACTTTAGCACGAAAAAAACAAAAGTTAACAGAACTCGGAGGTTTGTTTCTGATATTAAAGTTCAATGATGGTTTCAAGGGCAGATCCAGGAATATCAAAAGGGGGTCCAAGAAGTTGTGGGTGGGGGAACATGGCAAGCAAAGCGAGCCCACCCAATATCATGGGCATTTTGAGACCATTTTGAAGCCATGCGCACTTGATATTAGGAGATTAGGAGATATTCTAAAGTCAATAGTACTGGAAGTGCTTTTTACTATACAAAAATGCCTGAGTACAATACTGCATTAAAGAAAAAGTATTGAAATTTTCAGGTGAAAAGGAGGGGTCCGAACCCCCAGGACCCTCCCCAGGATCTGCACTTGGGTTTACCTTTCATTTGTAGTTTGGCTGAGGCTTGCTCAGGTGTGTATGATCACATTTCTTGTGGATGAATATGATCAATAACATCTTTGATTTTTCCGCCCTATCTCACCTGGGTGAGATAGTGGTCTGAGTTAACCAACTACCTAACGAATAACATCTAATAAAGAAAACTTACTTCTCACTGCAAGAATAAATCAAATTGGGGAAGGAGTTGCACTTTTGGAATCCCCCCCCCACCCGAGGCCATATTTCTTTCCACTTCAATGGTTTACATGAGCAAGAATGTTTCATCCACATTAATGTTTCCATTTATACTCATGAACAAGCAGGAAATATATACATTATTTGTGATACAATCTTGTCCCCAAAAAGGACAAGGATTTATAGTTTCCGCAGTATTAGTCTGCCGTTACACAAGAAAACTTCCCAGCATCATCTTTTCAATACACACGAAAACTTCCAGATTAGGTTAGGTTTGCTTATTAGGTAAGAGTTAATACAGTATTGTATTTCAGTTTATAAAGAAAAGTTGCATAGCATTCGGTCAGTCACTGATAAGTATTTATTAACAAGAAGTAGTACTGGGGCTCAGATTTCCCAGTCGTAGATTAGTGCTCAGGACGGAAAGAATCATAAAAATTATACTGTATCTGTAATACAAGAAATATTTTCCTCTTCAACTTTTTGGCCTTTTTCTGAGGTAAAAACACAATTATAATATGCAAAGAAATGTTAAGTTCAGGTTCAGGTGAAAAAACCATCATTTAGCATTGCCGATATTTTTTGTTAGGTACTGTACCTGGTTAACCTGCACGCCTGTTGTTAAGTGTAATCCTAACCTGATAAAGAATCTCAAATGATCATTAATCGGTACATTACTAGTAAACACAGAAATAAGCTCTATAGAGTATATACAGTATTTTTTTCACACAAGCTATACTGTATTAAAAACCTGGGTAATAATTTGTATTAGTATCTCTTCCTAACTACAGGACATATCACTTAGAAGATAAATGCTCTCTTTCCTAATGACAATATTGAAAAGTGCCTGAGCAATACAGTACTTTTTGTGTGATATACTGTAAATTCTACAATTTCTTCTATGTTGTGATAACAGATGCGGCTCCTCCAACCGCCATCAAATACTGTACCATATTGTTTTTATCTCATAGTTAACCCTTCACTATGGGGATGCCACATTTAATATTTTATTTGGCTAACACCAGACTATTTTATTCAGCTCAGAGAGGAACAGTTAGTAGACTATCTCCACTAACCCCTTCACTATGGGGATACCACTTTTAATATTATATTTGGCTAAGGCCACATAATTTTATTTAGCTCAAAGAGGACCTCATACACAAGGGGTTAAGGCACATAGAAGACCACAGTTGAAATGAGAAATCTTTAACTTTCTTCTCATTGGACACAATGTCAAACAATTGGAACAGATTGATAGAACACATGATTCCTGAAGTGCGGCAAACTTTCAACTGAAAAAAAATTTTGACGACATTCATACATCAGAGGAACAACTTACAAAAATAAGAATACTGTACTCTAGAGCATTTTCATCGAAAATTTTTATTTTTCATTTTTTTTTTTTTACTTTTCGATTTCAAGTTTTGTTTTGTTTTTAGTTCCGTTGGTTGTTCTTTTGTCTTGTTAGGTTAGGTAGGGTTTACACACCTAGGGGTATAGGGGGGCAGATAGGAGGTTAGGTCAGGTCCTTCTGGTTTCTCTGGTTAGGTTAAATTAGACATATAATGGTACAGTATTTGAGTCGTTACATTTTTGATGATCGTTTTTGTTTGGTAAAACTTTATTTCCTCCACCATTTACGGTATTTTGTTGATAAACTGAAGATTTTTTTTTCTCTTGATAAGTTTCCTAACTCAGCTTCTTAATCAGGGTCCCTGTTCTTAAATATTAGACATTTTTTAAGTTTTCTGTAATAGGTTAGGTTTGTTTTGTTTTTTTCTGCAAGTTTTTACCCCAGAATTTACACCTACTTTAAGGTGCTGCCCACCTTGTATTATAAAAATTGCATTTTTTTAAAGTGAAAATGAGACCTCACTAAGTTATATAGTTTTGTTTTGTTTTTTGCTCATCTCTCTATATACAAATCAATATGGGGTTCCGTGGTTGTCCTCAAACAAATCTTTAACCCAATATTTTCTTCAGAGAAACTTCCTAAAGTTGGTGTTATGGATGAACTGCAGTTGTCATGCATACCGAGCACCGAAGCAATTTAGTAAAATAAATCTCGAATAAATCAAACCTTATATGAAGTCCACAGATTATTCTGGACATTTACTAATTACATTACAGTACTTTCAAATACTAAATTACAATGAAAAATACATCTAAGAGATTTAACAGTGATTCGTCTACAGCTCAACCAAGACCTTGCCTCTACTGTACTTTACACACCACAGACATTTCAGTTTATGTTACAGTCACATATTTGATACACAGATCTAACAGACACCTTATTATATCAACAAACACACTCACTCTTGACTCATTTTTGTTTCAGAATTAATTTCCAAAGCTCGTGGATTATATCTCAGCACATGTTGTTGTTGTTGTGGGTGGTTGAGGTCGACGTAGTGTGGATTAGAAGGAAGTTTCTGAGAACGGATTCTTCATTTTTTAACGATATTTGTTTAATTTTTATTTTATTATTCTTTTTTGTTTATTTCACCACTTATCAGCTTACTAACCGTTCGGGCGGTTGGTTTGTTCTTTCTTATCAACTCTATTATCCATTGTTAGTACAACTTGAGGAAACCGGATGTTTGATAGAGTCACATCATGGGTCACACTCACACTGGTGGATAATTACACCCTTCTCACGAGTCCCAGGACTCTTTTTTTACTTTTATCCTCTTCGCCACTGATCGGCTTGTTTGCCGCTTGGGCGATTGGTCACGTCTTTTTTCATTTATATTCTTCACCAAAAGATCGGCTCGCTAGCCGCCCGGGCGATCGGTCACGTCTCTGTCACGCACTGTTGGCAAATACTGGGCATACACCAGCTCCTGAATGTACCTGAACCCGCTCCAGTGTTGGTCAAGTCTTCTCTTGAAAGAGCTCACACTCGGTGCCGTCACAACACTCTCTGGTAGATTGTTCCAAGAGTTTACAACCCTCACTCCGAAAAAGTTTGCCCTCACGGTTTTCTGGACTTGCGGCTTCTTCAATCTTGAGCTGTGACCCCTTGTGGGGCGAGCGTCCGCCAGCTTCAAGTAAGGACACTCAACTGAGTAGTGCCCCTGAGATACTTATACACCTCAACTAGGTCCCCCCTTGCCCGTCTGTAGTATAAGCTAGGCAAGTTCAGGCGCTCCAATCTCTCAGGGTAGCTGAGGTGCCGAAGTGCAGGCACCAGTTTGGTGGCCCTCCTTTGAACATTTTCAACCAACTGACAGTCCCTAGCATATCTCGGGGACCAGATGGGGTGACAGTACTCCAGATGGGGAAGCACTTCACTCCTGAAGATCGTCACGAGGGACAGACCGTCTAGATATCTGAACGACCTTCTTATAAGACCCAATAATTTATTTGCCTGATTTACCTTCTTCTCACAATGGCCCGAGAACTTCAGCTCATTGTCAACATACACACCTAGGTCCTTCTCACACACAGTCTCAACTAGTGCACACCGAAACACCATTAACAACAATAATTCCTTGAATTAAATTTTCTGAGTAAATATTACGACTACTTAAACAAACTTTCTTGCGTTTTCTATGTTATTATGTAAATATTATCCTCTTACATATAATAAAAGTGAATGATCTTATATGAAAAATTTAGTAGTATTGTCCTTGTTTCAAATCGAATCGATGGGTGAAGTAAAGTGTGAAGAGATCTTGATGCTGGTGCGTAGATTGGTGGTACGGGAACTGGACTTGAAGAATGACGGTGGAGTTAGGAGGGACTTGGGGTTGGTGGATAGTGCAAGAAGAAAGGTGGGGAAATTGGAAAGTAGTAGTAGGATGATAGGTCTTGGGGCTCAACCCAAGTGCTTCTGTTTTCTCATGTTTGTGTTTCAGCTAATTTTCGTCGTAGGTGTTATATTTATGTTAGGTGTTTGTATGTTTAACAAGTGTCGCAGTTTTATGCCTTACATTTTCGTGTCTTGTGTCCTAGCCAATGGTGGGGAGTCTAGGGCAGGTACTTGTGTTTCCGCTAAGAACATCCCGTCTTTTTATGATCTAATGTTGTAAGTGGTAGGGCTACCAAGGTTGTCAATGGGTTAACGTTACATTCTTTCATTAGAGTGGAGTTGGTGTGGGTTCGAGGGCTCTTCTTTTACTGCGAGGGAACCACGTGTGTTCTCTTCTTAAGAACATAAGAAAATAAGGAGTCTGCAATAGGCCGGTTGGCCTGTGCATGGCAGCTCCTGTCGAGAGTTACTACCACTCTCTATCATCCATGAATCTATCCAGCCTCCCTTTGAAACTTTCCAGCGTTCCAGCACTTACTACAAAGTTGCTAAGCTTGTTCCACTCGTCCACCACCCTATTTGTAAACCAGTTTCTTCCTATCTCCCTCCTAAACCTAAACTTATCCAACTTAAATCCGTTGCTCCGAGTCCTATCCTGCTCGGATATTATAAGAACTTTATCTATATCCTTTATTGATTCCTTTCACCCACTTAAATACTTCTATCATATCTCCCCGCACTCTTCGTCTTTCTAGGGAATGCAAGTTTAGTTTCTTTAACCTATCCTGATATGGAAGGTTTCTAAGTCCCGGAATCATTTTCGTCATTCTTCGCTGCACCGACTCTAGTGAATTGATATCCATTCTATAATAAGGGCACCAGAACTGAACCGCTTAATCGAGGTGCGGCCTGACTAGCGCAAGATATAGTTACAATAAGACCTCTGCACTCTTATTACTTACACTTCTAGATATAAAACCCAATACTCTGTTTCTTCCTTCTTCTATCTCTTCCATCCATTCTTTGATTGGTCCTGTCTCTATATCTTCTAACTTTGTCCATATTCTTTTTGAGTGTTGGTGTAGGTGAACGTTTAGGGGAACTATTTGCGCTCGTTGGTGTAGTTGACAGTTGGTGACTATGTCAGGATATCTGATGTTATATACATCCCTTAGGGCTAAAGTTTTGAAGTGTCTGCAGTTTCTTTATGTCTGTTTGTTTTATTGCATGAGTAGTAACGTCCCCGACTATCATTTAATTTACTGGTGACGTCCCAGAGTGATGTGTGTAAAATTAGTCAATACAAATGGGCTAACATTCAACCTCCGTTTAGTACTGTTATTTTACAAATATAATTAAGGCGTATACATTGATTATATATGTTGTCTAGTTAATAAAATGTGCATTGCAACGATTTATTTCTCTGTACCGAAAAATGGATATAATGGAATAGAAACACATCACTCGTGTAATGGGAGTAGTAACTCAGGAGCCAGTACTGTGCATGCCCATTCTTTGCCAACTGTGGGTGAAGAGAGACCTATCAATGACGAGGTTAGAGTGAATACAACCTATAACCAAATCATAACTTATCATAATCTAACCTAAGCTCACATAACCTAACCAAATCTAATTTAATTTATTGTGACCACCAAACCTACCTTACCTAACATATTGACTGAAGTTCCATTATGTGAAATTTTTATTATTAAATTTTTTATAGGTAAGGTTAATTTCCTAAATATAACTCTGTCCCGAATAAACTACATAGTTAATAAAAATAATAGTAATAATTTATTATTACAGTATTATTATTATTATTATTATTATTATTATTATTATTATTATTATTATTATTATTATTATTACACCACTCAATAGTTCGGACAATTCTAAGACACTTTTCTTCTATGACGTTTGCTTCTCAAAAGACTTATATTCTTCTTCTTCCTCTTTTTCTTATTATTATTGTTTTTTTAGCCATTTAATACTATGGTAACACCTTTAATCTCATTCAAAGTCATTTAAGTCCCGCATTTAAACTCATTCATGAAACGGATTATTTACATTCGTTTTCTTTGTTGCATTAAAAGAAAATGGATCTTTTTATGGGTAAACTTCTTTGCTTTTTTATTATGGTTGTACGCTGTAGCAATTATTTTACTTTAGTGTAGTTTATTTTATTTTATCTTTTTCGCAATTGATCGTCTCGTTAGCCACTTGGGAGGTCGATCACGTCAAAGTTAGGGACTATTGACACTGGTGCGCACCGTTGGCAAGCATACAGGTGTTATTTCCAGGCCCAGCCACCAGTTGTAGCTAATTGCCTTGCCAGTGACATCATAATTCTCACACACAAGAATTATCAAATGTACCATGCCCGGATGCCCAGCTTCCTACGCCTCGGAGGAAGTGGGGGAGTCTTCGGTTCAAACGATTTGGTTTGAACTTGGCGCGGTAGAAGGCAGCAGCAGCGGGAGGAGGAGTGAGGACCACCAGCTGGCGGGGGCGAGTCAGTCAGGGACGTAAACAAAAGGTGATGATCTCTAGCTTGCCAGTTGCTTCCCTCTGCCACTCCCTCTTTCAGTTGGAAGGTGAGTTTATTCATCTTATTTTTTAATGCCTCGCTGTATTACACATCTAATGGATTTCCTTGTGTGAAGGAACACAAATTGGGGGGGTGGGTTGAGGCGGGCAGTGGTTGGTAAACTGCTTGAATTGGTGATTGCTGATATTCTTGTTTACCCGTGTGGGTGATGATGTCACAAGCTGGACGGTGTGTGGGTGTCAGACCATTTATCACACACAACCACTCCTTCCTGTTAGTAGTCATCAATGCGTTAAAGTGTTGTGTGATGCCGTGTGTTGGTCATTAATAAGCTAACACACACATGATGGAAAGTAAAACAGCTTGTTGGGAGTGAATGAGCACATAGTGAGCTAAACAAAATAAGTAATAATTTAATATTCCTACGCACTCACAATAGAGGTTTTAGCGATTTTGCATAAATATAACTTGTTCCATAGATCAACGTCTAGTAAGATGACAAGAGACAGAGAGTGTAAAGTGAACAGCCCATATTTACCCTAGGAATTAAAATCTGTGTATTAGTGTTTGTGTGTTTTATGCAGAGAAATTTTATGTCTTACCATGGTCATGTTGTTACTGTTGTCAGCTAGAAATATGACAGGTGGCAGAGAAGATAAGCACATTTGTCACACCCTTCCTGCATTTAGATATCTAACCTAACCTAGCCATAGAACCCAGGAACTATATCTCACTTAACCCGAGGGGGGCGGATTAAATTCCTAAGATTCCCCGGAAGACCGAAAATAAAATAATACCTTATATCCCTATATAAGAATGAATAAAAGAAATTTATATTTTTGAGTTATTTTCACTTCTGTATAATGTACTGTACATTGCTTACTCCTTACTGAGCCAATCACTAGAAGTGTTGATGTTGCATGATGCTCTTGTACATGCACTTACTCCCGTTTTCGTAGGAAATTTTTTTTTTTTTTTTTTTTGAATTCAGGTTTGATTTCTTTAGGTTCCCTTGATTTTTCTATTGTCTTGTTGGGTTAGGTTAGGTTTACAAACTGGTGGTTCCAGATTAGGTATGTATGAATGAAGAGTATATTTCAGAACTTAAATACTTTACTGTACTGTATACTAGTACTGTACAGTATTGCTTACTCCTGCTGCTGAGTACAAGTTAAGGTTCTAAATCCTCAGTAGCTGTGTAAAAGGGTGTGCAGCAGTGTGTGTGTAACATTACACACATTACAGGAAATAGTTTACTACATATGGCTGTATTCAAGCACAGTGCATACCATACTTTTCTGATCATATGAGGATTTGGACCTCCAACTTATTTCACCTGATGATTAGACACCCTAACACTACCTGGGGAGGGGGGGGGGGTTAGGTTAGCATTAGGGTGGTTAAACTGGCATGCCTAACCTTTGTGTAATCCTCATTTTCTAATCTATAAGCATTTTAATCAATATATTCTCTTGAGAAGAAGACATTTACACTTGCTTATCTGAAGAAGTTGTGTACACTATCAGTATTAAGTGTAATAGTTTTGTTGTGTTTGCAGTCATCAGTTGAGCCACAGCATGAGACCAGCTGTCTACAAGACCTTGAGACAAACAAGATGAAGGCCGGCGATGTGTGTCGCTGTATCACTGATTTTTCTGGAGTGTTGGAAGATGAGATAACAGTGTATAAAAATGATATGGTGCAGGTATGAGATAGTTGGTATACAGTACTGTATACTGTAAGTAAACGTACTGTTCATTAGGTGTTTTGTGTAACAAAATCAAGAGCTCTTCTCTGCCTTTAACTTTTGTAATTTCATGTAAATAAATGTAATTGACTGTATAATGTGTATTTTTTGTTTTATTATTAGCTGTGTGCTTGTTCAGTTTATATATTTTTTGGCATTGCAAGCAATTAATTGATGCTTTACTTTAAATATAAATGAAAGTAAAGTAAATTACTGGTACCATCTTCATTGCAGATACACTCAGTGGTGGACCGACACTGGCTGGAGGCCCAGGGAGGCGGGTCAGTTGGTCGTGTCCCCTCAAGTGTGTTGGTCAAGACAGAGATACCCCCTCACCCACCACACCTTCCTCTGTTTGTAGCTTCGGCAGAGTTCATGCCGTCACAACCTGGTGATCTTGGCATGGCCAGAGGTACATGTAGTTACATTGTATGTATTTATTTGTTTACATCCAGTGAGTTGTACAGAACAGTAAACCCTTGTTATTCTTGGGGGTTACGTTCCAAGGCATGGCACGAATTGGCAAAACCGCAAATACAGTAGCAAATTATACTACCATAGTGCACTACTGTATACAGTACCTAGCTATACTGTGTGTGAGAAACTTAAGTCACCCATACTGATATTTGTATGTGGAAACGTGAAACTTGATGGAGTGTACTGTACATACTGCAAGGTGAAGTCTGGTTACAGATGGCAGCAGTCATTCCTTCCTTTAACTTATTTAATATTTCATTTTTCTTGGTAAAATTTATCAGTCACTTGCCTTTTATGTTTCATTTCACTAGCACTAAGCATTATTTTAGGGGCCATTTCACACAAAAAACACTTAAGTTTTGAACACAACACGAGAGATGGTGCATCACAGGCAATGGTTGAGTACTAACAAGGGAGAGGAGATGCTGTGGGCTCATGGGGGTGACTCATAGTACTCTCACAGAGGCTCATGAGCTAGCCACCATCTGCTTGCCATGAATATTCAAAACCACAGATTGTAAACCCGCAAATAAGAAGGGTTTACTGTACAGTAATATCCCCATTAGATGGAACAATTGGTGCTGAGTGTTACTAGGTTTGAGAGATTTCCAGGTATTGAGATGAATTCTCTTATGCCCGGAAAAATTTTATGTCAACGAAGTTTTTGCAGGCATCAGAACTATACATCTGGCACAGAGCACCATCGCTACGGAGGCTTAACTGCAGACATTCAGACACAGAGCGGTATTTATTTATGGAAGTGCTCTTTAACATGTACAGTACAGTATATTGTGAATAAACAAAATATACTACTGTATATTATACTGTACTAATCACCAGCAGATGATATCATCTTGAACTTTTGATGCAGGCAGGTCAAATGGTGTACTGTACTGTATGGCCTGCCTTTGTCCTGTACCATTTACTGTAGCAGGTGCTATCTGTCACTCTCCTCAATTGTACGTGTATACTGTGTACTGTACATGCACCCTCTACACACTAGCTTACAGTAGGCATACACTGTATACAGTACTCTGCTATGTACAGTACTGTATACAGTACTCTGCTATGTACAGTACTGTATGTACAGTACTTTCACACTTACTGAATGTACATTACAGTATACGTATGTAACTGTAATCACTTTTTACGTCTTAACACTAATTTAACGGTGCTCTTGTCTAATAGTATCCTGGTACAGTAATATACAGTACTGCACAACATGGATCACAATTAAAAACAGCAGCAATCGAGTGAACAAGTTTGTATAATGGAAGCAGACAATTAACTATGTATGTCATGATACTAGAGTTTGAGGAGATAGGCTGCGAGATACATCAGACAATCATAGGCATCCCATGCAGTCACATGACAGTAGTAGCCAATTGCAGAGCACAAGAGCTCTGAGCCTGCCCACCCATGCACTCGGCATGTGTCAGCACATGATGCAATTGCTCGAAAGGCCTGGAATGGAGAGATATTTCTTGGAATACTAAAATTTAATTTTCCGGGTAATGGAAAGTTCTGGGGATCAAAGATTATGGCGAATGGATTATTGTACAGTACTTTTCCTTTTTTTTAAAACAGTGCGAGGCGTGACTTTTTTGGCCCCCTCCAATCCATCTGTAGTTTGATAATACAAAGTGATATCTTTGTTACTTATTATTGGGCTTTCTGTATTTCTTATGTTCAGCCAATTTTTTATTGTACTTTTATTTTTTCTACTTTCTCTTTGATGCTTTTCCTTCATCATGGTGGCAAACAGGTGGGCACCATTTCCCTGTTATTCAATATGTTTAGCAGTTCTTAACCATTACATTTCTTCAAATTAGTGTACTTGTATAGTAATTGAATACTGATATAATATACAGTAGACACATTAGTCAAGATAAACAGAACCACTCTTTTGAATTTTTCTCAGTACTGTACTGTAGTATATGATTTTTCCTCAGGGGATTTTATCATTGGTTTAAACCCTATTGATGAATCCTGGTGGTGCGGTGAAATCAACGGCAAGAAAGGTATATTCCCCCTCAACTTTGTATGGAGAATCAACAAGGATATCATTGAGGTGAGACTCAACTCTTACCTTCTGTAGACTCTTGTGTTTGTACTCTTTTTTTGACTGTTAAATTGTAATTGATTTATATAATTTGGATTTGTGTCATGATTTTTTTTTTAATTATCCTTTAGTCATTAAGTAGATTATTATGTTTTATGTGTTTATTTTTTTTTGGGGGGATAAACATATTCCATCTCAATTTGTGTAACAGTGAGAGATATCTGCTGCACCTGCCTAAGCCTTAGTTTGAAAATGATTCAAAGTGATACTGGCACACACCAGTACATGATGATCCTTTATTGATGACAGGAATATCACAACAAACTACCAAAATTAAAAGCAACTATGTCTAAGCCAGATGCTCATTTAAGCATATTTTGTATATGTTGCATTTGTACAGTACTTATGTATTTCTGTATTTTTGTCTGTAGCAAGATTATTAGAGTAATTAAACTCCACCCATCTGTGACCTGAGCTGTTTTCCTCAGGTAGTCATTTGTCTTAATGTGAAGTGTGTCCATTCTGGTAGCCCTAAAATAAGTAGCTCAGTTACCCTCCCTCTGCCTAATGGTAAGGCTGAGGTGGGCTGTGACTGGGGAAGGACCTGGGAGATAATGTTTTGTGACCAGTCAAAATGATGGTTGTGGAGTAATTATGGTGTGATGACTAACACTCATTACATTCAGCCTTGATTGTATCCTGGCTGACAGGATATGGCAGGAAGAAACAGACTTATTAATAGATTAGTTCCAGTTAGTAATACAGTATCAAGAATTTCTGGCTCCTGAACTCATTTGCTTAATTCATTGGATAATTCATATACTGTATTGCTTGATTCATGCTTAGTTATAAAATGGGATTTCAGGATAAATAGTGCAATTTCTTCATTTTAGGTAGAAGACACAGCTGAAAAACCTGTCAGGATGAAGGGGAAAGTAAACATGAGTATTCGTGCACAATTTCCAGAAGAGCTGGACTTGTATGCCGGTGATATAGTAAACATCACACATGTGGTGGACAAAGATTGGTACAGGTAAGTGACTGTTTATTTTATTTTCTTTCATTTTATTTATATTTTTTTAAATTTGGGGATGTGATTGTTTTAAAATTCCAGGTTCATTATTTAATGCAGCATACTGGAGGTCAAGCTCACTACTTAATGTTGGGACAAAACATGATGTGTTCATATTCTTGCTTAAGTTGTTGGCAGTTTTAACAGATGATTGAATGATTATGTATTATGCAAGAGACTGAAATGAGTCTTGGCTTTATTTTTAATGTATTATGTAAGGAGGCAATAATGTTAACTGTGACAGAAACAAAATTACAGTGAAAGAGATTTGTGACAGTGAGTCATTATGGGCATAAAACTCCTTGTGACTGAAGTTTAGCAAAGTTTTATGATCATGCATTGTGAACAGTTGGGTAGGATCCTTACTTATTTCACCTTATGATTAAACACCCCAATTCTAACCTAACCTAACAAAACCTAACTTAATCTAGCCATTTGATATTATGGTGTTTAAATCATCAGGGGATATAAGTGGGGGTACCTGATATTCTTGAGGTCCAGTGGATAGTGTTTTAAGGATCACACTTTATTGGGATTTAAAGATGATTGTTTTCAAACTGACTGACTGACTGTGTGTGTGTGTGTGTGTGTGTGTGTGTGTGTGTGTGTGTGTGTGTGTGTGTGTGTGTGCATGCGTGCGTGAAAATAGCTCTGCACTTATTCAGAAGCTTTTACATAATATTTAATAAAGCTTTTTTCAACAGAGGAGAGAGCAATGGGGCAACAGGCACCTTTCCAAGTAGTTTTGTGGATATTATAGAGGAAACTTCAGTGCCTTTCTCATCTGCTGTGTATCCAGATGAGAGTAACCACGTAGCATCAAGTAGTACAGCAGAACCTGGCCTGAGTGTTGATTGTGTGCTGCAGGAGAATACATACATTAATGATACTCCTTCATTGTCAACCCCAGAAGCTCCTGTGCCTAGTGTGGAAGATGTCACTCCTGCCAAAGATCATTCCACATTTAGTTCAAATGTTGGTTCTACTGCCTCACCTTCTCAGTCAGGACAAATTTTTGATGAGCCAGTAATTCTGTCCAAAACTTCATCTCGTTGGAAAACTGTAGAAAGTGATGATAATGCTGACATTTTTGAAGATGACTACTTTAAGCAAAATATGCCTGGTGTGTTTTCTTCCTCCAGCGGGACTGGAAATGTGTCATTGAATAATGCCAGTAGCTTTACTACTCCCTCTATAAGTCAAGCCAGTGCCTCGCCTTCCTCTCCCAACCAAAGTCTTAGGTATGGAAATATTCCCGAACCCTCAGTCCTTCCAGATAAGTCGTACCACGATAAGTTATTATTTCCAAATGGAGTATCACAGTTTTCAGATACAGATTTACAGAATAGAAGTGATGTAAAACATAGATATGAGAGTATTTTGCAAGATAATACAGATTCCTCTAAAAGTGGGTACATCCAGTCAATCACAGATGATGCTGGTGTTCTTGGGAATGACCCTGAACCAAGTGCCTTTACAAGTGTCCAAGAAATAAGAGATGACAGTGTGCTCAACTCATTATCACAGAAAGTGGATGACTATTTTTCCAAAAATCTTTTGGAAGAGAGTGGTAAAAGTAAAGCCTTGCCTGCTAACAATAACCACTTAATTAAAGATTACAATTCTCTGTCTTCTCCTGGCTACAATGAGGACAACACGGGTATAGAACCTTATGGCCGGGCATTATTTTCCTTCAGGGCTCAGTATCCTAATGAACTAACATTTAGGAAAGGAGATATTATTCATCTCTTGAAACACGTAGATTCTCATTGGACTTTAGGTCGTGTTGGAGATTCTAAAGGCATATTCCCTACTTCATATGTTGATATCATTGTAGATTGTCTTCACAATGAAGAGGAATTATTTTTAGCCAGACCTGCAGCAATTTTACAGGCAACACATTTGGGCCATGCTAAAGCCATGTATAGTTTCCAAGCTGTGGAGTCTGGAGATGTGTCCATGATGAAAGGAGACATACTAAAAATACTGAAATATGTAGATAACAACTGGGTCATTGTAGAAAACATGACTGGCTCTAGGGGGATGTGCCCCCAAAATTATCTATCCATTCAGGTAGAAGAAAGTCCAGATGTATCTAAGGAACTTGATACCCAACAGATGAACTTGGGTCCAGGTGCAGATACTGAACGAGAATCAAGGCTGCCCGTTCAGGACGCTGTCCATGATCGATCGAGGAGCACCTCTCCATTCAGCACTTCTGGAAAGAGGCGATCTTATAACAAGGCTGATTTTGGATCAATCAAGAAACAAGATGTTGAACCTGTATTGGCTAAGAATGTGGCATCTTTAGATGTTACCTTAAGGTGTAGTCAGGTTGTTCAGTTTGACAAGAAAGGCAGTGAAAGTATCTTCACAGAAAGGGAGGACAATCCAGAAACAAGTGACCAACCTATTGCTAGAGAAGGATCATTGAAATTTTCACCTGCAGCAGCAATTCCATCTAAACTGAACAAAATATCCATGTTATCCACTGATACTAGCATGCTGGCAGGTTTTCAGGATTCTGAAAAAGAGTCTACCCAAGTCACACAACCTTATGCTGCCACTATGTCATCAGTTGCAGGCAGGATTCACAAAACATCAACTTCTACCACACCCACAACATCTCAACCTCCAGTTGCATCTCCAAGGTCTGTGAATATACCTCAAATTCCTCCAAGAAAAAAAATCAGCAGAAGTTACTCCTCAGAATCTAATACTTGTCCCACAAACACAGTGGCAACAATCAATGTGGAAACTGAAACAGAAGGAGCAGCAGCAGTAGCTAAACCCCTTCAAGAAGTTCAGAAGCCCTCTAAACCTTCCAAGCATCGTGATTCACTTGAGCCAGTTTATGCTCAAGTGCAGAAACCTCGATTGACAGTTAAACCATCAAAGATTGTACGCCAGAAAAAGATTGAAGAATCTGAAGTACCAAAAGCTTCAGTAACTCGAGGTGAAAGTGCAGCTTTCCCAGATGACGTCTCCCACATTTCATCTGATAGTGAAGGAACATACTCAACTGGTAAGGTTAAATTTTGTTGCTAATATTTCCCTAATATTTTTTTATTTACTAGTTCAAAATTTAATTGTTTATTTGAAGTAAAAATGAAGAGAAAAAAATTGGTTCATTAATGGTTCTTTTTCTTCAGCGATATTTACACAGAATCTTGACCTACTTTTTTGATAGTACAGTACAGTTCAGTATTTCACTTCCACTTCATCTTGTTGATTTAGTCTATACCTTACCGTATGTGCCTCACTATCAAAAGTCGGAGAACCTTGTGTTTTTTGTCCTACCATCATTCTGTCTTTTTGGTTTTTGTAATTAAACTTTTATTACATGTACAATGTATCCATCAACCTCAAGGCATTCTTGTATATAAGATGACTCATAACTCCTGCACTGTGAGGGGAAAATATATTACTACATGTTTCACCACCTGCTTCAAAATACATTAATCTTCTTGCATTCAGTTATGATTTTATGCTTTAATTTTTCTATGGTTCTTGGACGACCTTGGTAGATGACAGATTTTAGGTGTTGATGACTAAATTCTTTTGCAACTGATTGGCATGGTGCATCTGGCTCTCTGTACATGAACATTAAATTCACTCTTTCTTCAAGTGTTAATTTCTCTGCCATTTTCATTCATCTGCTATGTTTTCAATGGTACAATGACTTATAAGACACCCTGCTATAAGAGATGGGTATAAGGGATAATAGGAGGATTGGACCAACAAGCAGACTCAAACAGGAATGCAGATGGAAGGTGTTAGGGAGGCAAAACAGACATTGAAAGAGAGAATTGGGACTTAAGATTTTTTTATGAAAGGTGGAATTTTATTTTGAAAATTTGTAAGGCTTAATGTAGAGGATTTATGAACTAACAATTTTTGTTTGTTTGTTTCATGATCAGAAATAAATAATGGCAGCTCGTCCCCCGCCTTAGCGCCTCAGCGTCCAGCACCGCCTCCACCACCAAAAGCCTTTGATATGTTCTATGATGAGGTGGAAGAGTACTATTCACTGCCACCTGAAGGTACGTATTATAGGTTTTATTTAAAAATTTTCTTGTCATTTCAATGCTTAGTGTAGCTTACTACCCATTCAGGAGATTGGTTTGTTCTTTGTTACTTTGTTATGAACTTCCTTGTCCACTGTTACTACAGTACAGGAGGAAACTGGAGGACTCGGAGAGTACCTGCCATATATGGTAGGGTCACATTAGTTAACACCCTTTTTACATCTGTCCCAAACCTGGAATTGAACCCAGCACAGAGTAATGAGTAGTACACACATTATAGTGATTAATATGAAATAGAAAAAGACCATTCATTTTCTCCTTTGGTGTTTTAGGTTTTTCATTTGAAGATAAATTCGTATACTGTATAGGTACAAGAATAGCTACTTCATTTTATTTTTACCATTTTATGATATTGTCAGGGCTGTTGATGCATCTAAATGTAATTTCTTAAATTAAGAAACTTTTCACATTTAGGGGAATTAAATTAAAAGGTTAGTAAATATAACTATCGATAAAGTTTAGTTGGTTTTGAACACAGTATATTCCTATCATATCTAGGTTAAGGCGTCACCTTTATGATACTTACTATTTCAGAGTCGGAAATGGTGAGCCTACAGGATACAGCTCCCTCAAGCAGTCGTATGAGGGCTGAGTCAGTAAGATCAGCTGGTGGTGCTGACAACACTAATGTGAGTGTGACAGAGGGAGCTCAGAGTGATGAAGCTTCTGCACTGGATGTTGAGGCAAAGGTATGAACTTCGGGTGACAATTTGGTTTGTGTATTGTAGGTTAGACTTTTTTTGCTACCAAGTACAGAACAGTATAGTATACAGTATCCCTATATCTGGTTTTTATAATGAATTAGAGAGGAAACTGCCAGCTGAATGGATTTGGTCTGTGTGTACATCTGCATAGAAAACTGGACCTTTAGTGGCAAGGCTAGTGGATGTAAGCTGTGTTTGTTTTGACAGAGGTACAGTATGTGTAAACCAGATGGAGGTAAAGAATTATACAAGAACAAGTCTCATAAACATAAATATTACAAGAAGTAGATGAAGCAATTAACAAAGAAATTTGTTTCTTGTTATCAAATTCAGAAATATTTTATTGTCATGAAAATGGCAGGAATAGTTTGAAAATAACAGATACAATACAGTCTCTCCTCGACTTACGACATATTCGACTTATGACAACCAGGACATACGATGGCCATGGCCGTTATTTTTCACATTACGTATTTTCGAGTCCCAACGTTAGTGAGCGCGCTGTTATGAAAATTTTTTTTGTTTGTAATTCCCTTTATAATGGCTGGCAAACATAAAAGTGAGAGTTCTCGTGGTGCTGAGAAGAAAAAGAGACACCCATTTTAGAATTTTTATTTATTATTTTCAACTTCGACTTATGACCTGGTCGTCGGGACTGAACCCCGTCGTAAGTCGAGGAGAGACTGTATTTACATCCAAGCATCACTAAATATACACATATTACGTTGATCATATATTTCTTAGCAATGAAGACTGATGTAAGTGTCATGATATCTTATTTATTGATAAAATTAGACTTCCATGAAAGTGTGGGAAAAATTAAACAAGAATATAGGCACCCTTAGGAATTAACATGCATCAAAGTAGCTATAAGAAATTTACAATCAATTGATGAGCCTTTCATCTTCATTTGCCTGTAAGCTGTGAGTATTCATGTAAAATTTTTCCTGACATACAGTTCCATGTTTATTTGTACACCTTTATATCTGAAAGTTTTATACTGTGCACTTGCACCTCTGTACATGTAATTGACTTCTATGAATGGTAGAATATGAATGGATTTCCTCATTTGTTTAGAAAGTATCATTAAGGCTGTTGGTAGTAATATCCCCGTTAGCCGGAACAGTTGGTGCAGAGCACTTCCTGGGATGAGAGATTTCCAGGTATAGTATCCAGACGACTTTCTCAAACCCGGAAAAATTCCTTATGCACGAAAATTTTTCTTGTTACTGGGAAAAATTTCCAAGAGTCTAAGCTATGCATTTTGCACAGGCAGACACTAGCCCACATCCCCAGAAAGTTTCTGGGTGCTGGAGAAAGTTTTTCAAGAGTTTAAACTACCGGAGTCTGTAAAAACAGTTCTAATTAAGCTGCCAGAATGGATACAGTGGTCGTCACCTCTCCTAAGGTTTGCTATTAATTGCCTGGTAAGTGCTCAGTCCATATGTGAAAAGGTTTTAGAGAAAAATAAAGTATGTAGATTGAATTTTTTAACCTGAAAGACAGTGTGTGTTGTTCATTTGAATCTATAGAGGGCATATTGTAAAGTTAAGAACACAGGATCATGTTTTAAACGTGTGACCCATGAGACCAAAATGGTATTCCATGGTGATGCAAGACAAGAGGGAGGTTACTCTCTGAAGTGTACACAGAGGCAGTTAGTCCATCCTGTTAAGCACTCTGTATTAAGCCAACTCATATTGCTCAAGGATTACCTCTGTGGGAAACTTGTGGGTTCAGTGTCAGAATGTTAGTATTACAAGGTATATTGATAATACATTACAGTATATAACGTATTTAACTTTATTTTGACAGGCAAAGGTACGGGCAAATCAACGACTTGAGCTTGTGAAGGAGATCGTAACTACAGAGCATGAATACATCCACGACCTCGAAGCTCTCATCCAAGTGATTAGTCTTGCGCCATCACAGAAAGAATCTCAGTCAGTGAATCTCAACACAATAATGGGGAATATCTGTCAGGTGAGGTGTGTTAATTGTTGCAGCATCATTAAAGGATCATCACAGTCATGGTATAGAACATAGTCAACATTGTAGATGGTAATAAAGTAATCACCATTCATAATATGGAGGACATGGCACTAGGGTTGGTCATTGATATAGCTTTATATTTACATCTATTGTATTTGGTTCACACACTGATTAAATTTTTTTTGTCAGTACTCAATGGCCTCTCTCCCATTGTAGTTAAACTGGTAGAAAGAAGAGTGGCTTCCATGGACAGTGGGACCAAGTGGGATTAATTGTGTTATCAAAATGTTTTAATAGTAAAATTGTAATGGGGTTTTGTTAATGGGAACTTTCTAATTACTTTTATTGTCATATGCAAAAAAAAAAATTGTAAATAAAAATTAGTTATTTGCTTATACGTAGTGATTATTCTTGCTGAATTCATTCCATCATATTGTACTGGACATATACAGTGCTTCAGGGATAGATGAGGACATGATGATGCAGTTTTCTATTCTACAAATGATGTAAAGAAGTGTAATCATGTACTGTATAATATATGCAGTACAGTACAGGTTCTCCCTTCCCAGTTATGGTGTCCCTGTCCGGGTTTTCAGTTCTCGTGGTATTATAAGTGTACTGTATCGACTACTTTTCTCATGGTTCCGATTTTTTTAATTTCTCAGTAGTGATGATGAGGTTTGACAATAGATGGCTGCTGTGTTGTGATTGTGCAGCTCACAGGAATATAATGATAATATTACTGTAATTGTAATTATAACAATACTATTATTATTATAAATGCACTGAGCGAGGCTGAGGCACTATGTTAGTTTGTTTATTCACTCACCATGCTTCTGTGACATGATTCTTAGTTGGTTTATCCGAAAATGTCTCTGAAATGTAGGTTTTGATTTATTGCCAGGTTTTATAATAGTGTATATCTTTTAGGTACTTTATCATAATTTTCCATGATTTAGATTGATGATATAATGCTAATAGGGTATTACATTGTCCATTTATATGGTTTTGTACCTGTGGGGTAAACTTTTGATGGTCCAGGGATATATCCCCTTTTCCACCATGTTAAAATGGGATCCTCAGTCACAGTCTTGCCAAGATTGGGGAAGGAGACTTGTAACTTTTTGTCAGTCTTTCAGGCCACCTCCCTCTATATAATGGATAGCTCAGAACCAAGAACAAACACAGACTTTCCCTATTCACTGTCATCCATTTGCTTTCACTGCTGCAACATCCTCATGAACTACTCGGTGCCTTGCTTTTCTGTCATTCATGCAGCTTCCTGGATGTCTATCCCACCTCACTCCTAGTGTGTCCTTCACTCCCTCTTCCATCTCCAAATATAGTAACTTAACTTTACCATATAGCTCAGCCATCATGTGCATGTATAATGACAAATGTTAAATGGAGGTGTTGAGAGCGTACATTAACTCAGGATTAATATATATTGCAGGTTGTAGAAGTGGCTAAGAAGTTTTTATCAGTGTTAGATAAAGTTGCATTTGAAACTGAAGAGGAGTTGCTGGTGGGTCGTGTGTTTCTGTTATGTGCTGATGAACTCTGTGAAGTTTACAAGGTCTATTGTTCCAACCACAACATTGCTGCTGAGCCCCTGTTAAAAAAGGTAAGGGTGTGATAATGCATGGTTAAATTTCATCATCATATCTTGTTGAATACTCTGATCAATATCCAAGCTGTTTCATGTGTTAGGTTCCATAATTGAGTAACATATTTTGTAAAAAGATTTTTATTTTTCATTTTAGGGAGTAGGTGTTTAATTATACAGGTATTTGAAAGTTTCTATGTATTTATCAGTGAATTAGATATTGATTCTTAACTTGATGATCTGAACCATCCTAACATATTTTGACAACAATTTCTGTTAGACTTTCAACTGGGAGTGTCTTTAAGTTTACAGCCCATCTCGTGTGCACTTGTGAGCACTTTATGGGTATGTTGCGATGGTTTGCACCTTAATGATCATTGTTTGTTTATATTGTTGAAGGTATTGTGTGGATTTATGCTATGTAAAATGTATCTAGTTTAAAGCTACCATAGAAATGCTAGAACTAGAAAGAATATAAAAACAAGGCTCACTGCTTAAGATGTTCATTTAATATGGAATAGACAAGTTGCCATCTCTTGCAATATAGATGGCTGGAAAAATTAATAATTTGACACTTGATTCACTGTTGTGTGGCTATGTAGGTGACAGCTTAAAGCAAGGGTTCATGGACCTCCGGGGGTATGTGAAGCCTGATCAGGGGTTACAGGAGGTTCATTTTGAATGTACACAGAATTTTTATGATTTTTCATTTTTATTTTGATGATACACATACAATACAGTAGTTTACTAAAGAAAAAAAGAAATATGACTGAGACACTGAGGCAAAGGGCTACAACGACCATAAAATGTTCGTAACTACTGGCTTAGAGAAAGCAATGGTTATGAGTTCTAATCAGTAGAGGATGACGCCTCAGGAGTGTTTTATGGCATGTTGTCTTTGTGCTGATATACTATAGAATCGCGAGAGTCAGGGACAGCAGCAGTGTACAAGCAGTGCAGCTGAAATGCTTATTATTGTCCAGCTGACTACTGTATTTTGTTATACGTTTAATTTTTATTGCACTAGATAAACGAGACTTTAAAGTTCTTTTAACAATTGCCTTGTCACATGGAAAGTTTTCTCGATTATTTTTAATTCAAGAATTATGTGTTATCAAAGAACATAAGTGAGTGAACACATTGTATATGGCATCAAGTTATACATGGGAGATGCTGTACAGTATTACTATTTGATATAGTGGAACAAGTTGGTAGGTAGATTGGTATTTGAGTGGTTTCATTCTTATGCTTATAATAAAACACCTATATGTGCCCGCATCAGTGTAAATATTTAAAACACTCATTGTTAACTACTCATCTTAAATGTTTTAGTCACCTGGATATTATTTCAGTATGTGGAAGAACCTGAGCCTGCAGCATTTCTTCACTGGGTTCTGGGTGAACTTCAGCAACAGAAGATTCAACTGATGGACATGAGGTCTGTCCTCATTAAGCCTGTCCAGAGAGTTCTTAAGTAAGTATGTGAGAGTGATGGAAACCTCCACACCTTGAACAGGTCACCACCTGGTGTTGGGACACGTTGACTGTGGCTCATAAGGTCCCAAATTGCAAATTAAAGTGTTTAAATGGCTCCAAACATTGATTGTAACTACAAAAGTGTAAATATGGCATCTAAAAGATATACAAATTGGTTAATTAATAAATGAAAAGAAGTGAAATCATTTCAAGCATCATTAACCCTTTATATGCGTGTGTCTTTATTAACCTGGACAGATACCCTCTATTTCTGGATCGACTAGTGAGTGAGACGCCGCGTGGCCACCCTGACTACACAGATCTGATCGAGGCTAAAACGAAGATGGCAAATGTTGCAAAGGAAATCAATGACTATACCAAGAGACTTGATTTAGGTAAGACTGTCGGTTAACTTGTAAGTGTTAAGAGTTACACTGTATCATTCCTTCCCCTCATCTCTCCTCCATGACAAAAACAAATGTAAAATTAAACCGAGACCTTAACTTTCATGAATGTGCAGCACAGTACGCATATTTTTTATTTACTGATGCATAGTATCCAGTACTATACCAAATTTTATATACTGTACTGTACTCGCATGTGTGTGTGAGAGAATGAGTGCACATGTGTGTGTGAGAGAATGAGTGCACATGTGTGTGTGAGAGAATGAGTGCACATGTGTGTGTGAGAGAATGAGTGCACATGTGTGTGTTATCAAAGTGTTATCAGGGAGTCACATTTTGTTTACTTGAAGCTGTTTGCTGTTGTGTGTGAACCATTATTAACCTTATTCAGCAGTTATTGTTAATTGACGAGGATCTAAATTATGTTTCAGTTAACAAGTACCGTTTTGAGAGTGATCAGTCTCTTCACAGTAAGATGCAGAGGGTTTCCTTACATTCTGTGGCAAAGAAGTCGGCAAGAATCTCAACCCTTGTGTCAGAGATGTTGGGAATTATGAATCAGGTAAAGTCACACATACTGTACTTCTATTTAGGTGTTGCTAGGGCACCGAATTTTATTTTAGTGAGTATTTGATATTGATTATAGTTTTAACATAATAGTAATATATCAGGTTACATGATATGTTTGTATATAGCTCTGTATAATTCTATGTACTATGCTCATTGCACATAACATGTTTTATTGGATCGTTGACATTTAAGCCTAAATATATACAGTATACAGTATCTCAGTAGGTGGTGCTAATGAAGAAGAAAGTTGTGTACAGTAGTATGTGTGCTGGTGCACCTGGTTGTTCAACTGTAAAAGACTTATATTGGTCATATGGACTCAGGAAGAGAGGTATTCTCTCTTTGTTGGCTCTTAGACCTGATGTCTATCTATGACCACTAGAACTAGACCCTTCCATTCAGCTTTACTTCTTGTTACTACCATCCTTCTCTGTGGCTCCTCCAGTCTTGCATCTAGCACACCACTCGTAACATTATCACTCCATCACTTTCTTTGCCTTCCTAAAGAGAATTATCAGCTATTAAAATTGTATTAGTAACTGAGAAAGTGTGCATTGTTTCCCTAAATTGAGAAGAATATTGAATGGATATTGAAAATACATTTTTTCTTATGCAAAATTAAGATTTCTTCTCTTTCAATAGACAAAAGATCCAGATTTTGATGAAGAAGTTGCAAAGTTTCGATCCATGCAGAAAGCAGCAGCGGCAATGACAATGAATGTAGGAGTTGTAGTGCAGAGCATAAAAGCCAGACACAAGGCTGAGCTGGAGATTGCTAAGGGACTGGTTGCCACTCTACATCAAGTAGCAAGAACTCCCGAGATTGAAGCAATACAGAAGACAGCATCAGACTCTTGCAATAGACTCTTTGAAATGTTTGTGAGTATACTGTATTATATAAGATAATGCCAGATTGTAGTAAAGTTTGTGAGTATAATAAATGTATAAGTATACAGAGATAAGACCTGAGTGTTGGAATTTTCTTTCTCAGTAAATATCTCAGCTATTATAGTACATATAATTAATGCTGTGCATAACCCTCAGGACAATTTTGTGAAGCATCGTGTCATCATGGTGGTGAAGCAACTGTTGTGCCTGTGTGAGGTGCCGGAGCGGCTCATAATGAAGAGAAATGACAAGTTATTGGACTATGATAATGCACAGTACAAGTTGGACAGGAACAGGGATCTAACCAGGACCAGAATTGTAAGAATAATTACCAGGTGTATATATTTTATTATTAATGTGGAACAAATGGTATAATTTTTTACATGAGGGCTTTTTCTTCTTGGCCAACATTTGATTCAATAATAAAATTCTCTCTTGATAGTTGCACAACATTATACTGAATATATGAAATACGTAGAATAATTTAGTGTTATCCTTACAAGTAAATCCAGAAGGTAACTTGGGTTTTTACACCTATTTGCCTGTTCATTTATATAGAAACAGTTTCATTGTATCTAGTATTTCAGAGGTGTTTGATTCATACAGGTGTTTGTCTCAATTGTAATAACTTTGTTACTGATATAAATAATGTACGTAATACAGATTTTTGATCAGATTGAAGAAGATGATTTGACAACTATTTATAAACTGATGATTGTTGAGAACAGTTCATATATCTGTATAATGCCTATTAAAGCCTGTTAATCAACTCTCTCAGAGCAATCTTAGCCCTAAAAGAGGCATTGGAAGCCCCAACTGCCTTTAAAGACTGAGGGATAATAAGCCTTAGAGTCATACAGCTTCTGTATAACATATTACTCATGTAAGTGAGTTAGTTATAAAGCAGTGCTTGCAGCTCCAGCCTCAGAGAGGAGGTTTTAGGTTGGGCTTTGCAGTTCTTGGTGTTGTACAGATGGCAAAAGGGGATTTTTACCATGCTTCTACATTGTTTTATAAGTACAGTACAGGTATTACATATGATAACCTAACTAGGCAGTTGGTGAGCTGTTTAATTCAATGTCTTGTTTCTACTACCCTAACAGCAATTGTCCATTTTGGTTTATTAAGTGGGTCTCCAGGTGGGCTAGGGGCTGATGTGCCTGTGTGACCTAGGGTAGCATTACAGGATAGTACTACTCCCAAAATTGGTTATGGGGCTCTCTAATATATTGAATGTTGATGCTATAATGTGTTACTGCACTTCAATGAGTAAGGCCTTTAAAGTGTACTGTATACGTATGCTAGATTAGTAATTAAACTAGCCATCAACAATTACAGATTAAGAGGGATGCAGCTATGTGGTTCATTATTATTATGAAGTACTCAAGAATAATTTTGAATATCTTTCACTGACAGCTGGAGGAGGAGTTGTCACAAGCCAAGGGGACATATGAAGCTCTGAATATGCAGCTGATGATGGAGCTGCCTGTGCTAATAAACTGTGGGACTGAAGTAATGGTTCTTGCCACACGGTCATTTGTTGCTGCTCGTATGTACCTTCAGGGCCACTTAGCTCAACAGTATCTCCGTCTGGCTCAGGTAAATGAGGCCTTAGCCATATTGTGTTTTTAAGATCAAGAAATTATTGATTGAAGTTAAATATTGATAAAGTGAGTGTTGTGAGCTCCCTTACATCAGCTAAACTTTGTATTATATTTATGTTTTATAGCTTGGAAATCTATACAATTAGTAAATAGAATGAATTTATTTGGGGAGAAGACATGACCGCATTAGTGACTACCAAATTAAAAGTTTTATTGAATGCCCTGTACATGTAGAGTCACGGAAAAAAATAAATCCTGTCAGTCTTCTGTCCCATCCGTGAACCTTGAGATTCATGAACCTGTGAATCTGAGACATAACACGCCTCAGTGCACCATCTGTGCACAGGTTTATGAGTCGCGGGTCTGAGGACTGACAGGACTTTTTTTCGTCACTACATATGATACATATTTTTTTTTTTTTTATCATCTTACCAGTTTTCTTCCACTTCATATAGGGTGACCACAAACAAAATCACACACACACGCACAGTTTATGGGAAGGTGGAAAGAATAAATCCAATGGCGTGAAACAAAAAAAAAAGCTAGATACTAGGAAAGTACTACTGTAAAAGATTGGAAGGTGTGAAACAAAGATAGATAACATGAAGGTAAAAGAATAAATCAATAAATCCAATGGTGTAAAACAGGAACACGTACAAAAGTTAGATAAATAAGAAGATAAAAGGGTTCAGTAAAACTAATGGAACAAAACAAGAATAAGGAGTAAAACCAAAAGGTATAAATCAAAACAAGTGAGGAGTTGGAGAAAGAAAGTTTTGGTGTTCAGTCCATCACTCGCTCATCCTTGCTTGTGGTTCTCCACCGTGAATCTAATTTCAGCTTACACGGCAAAGTTTTCTCTCTATGTGTTTGTTTAATACAAGTTAAATTAGGTATGGTTTGGTTTGGTAAGTTTAGGTTAAGTTTGATTAGTTTGTTAGGGTTGATTTGGTTTGGTTAGTTTAGGTTAAGTTTGATTAGTTTGTTAGGGTTGATTTGGTTTGGTTAGTTTAGGTTAAGTTTGATTAGTTTGTTAGGGTTGATTTGGTTTGGTTAGTTTAGGTTAAGTTTGATTAGTTTGTTAGGGTTGATTTGGTTTGGTTAGTTTAGGTTAAGTTTGATTAGTTTGTTAGGGTTGATTTGGTTTGGTTAGTTTGGATTTGATTTCAATTTGCTTAGGTTAGGTTAGGAATGCTTACTCATCAGGTAAAAAAAACAAGGTTTCTTAATAATTTTGGTGAGGTTCTTTATTTACAATACAATACTACTTAATGAATTGGAAAATAAAGCTAGGTCAGAAAACTTGACGTGTTTCCTTAATATGTATTTTAAGTTCAAAGAAAATATTAAATAATAGCAAACAAAATGGTGTGAATAAAGGTTTTCCCACATTAGATATTTTATGTTTCAAGAAATTTTATTTTTATGCCATGAAAATAAAGTAAAAATACTGTATAGATTATAAATGCAGTGTTGCTATTATAAGTTTTAAGAGGATTATAACTGAAAGCAAAGGAAAATTTTGGGTGTGTGCAAATAAAAATATCTCCAATGGAAGTTTGGACATTATGTTTCAAAGATAAAAAGAAAAATGCAGAAACAATAAAATATTTTAGGGTACAAAGATGACTGCTCCCAAGAGGACAGCTGTCAATGAGGTTAAGTGTGGATTAATGTTGGAGGAAAGGTGGGGTTGGTGGTCCCTGGCAGAGTCAATTTAATCCTCTGTGAAGGTCAGACCTGCTGCTCACACCACAGCTATTGAAACACTGCTATATATATATTGCTCTTCTCCTCCCTGTCACTAGTAATTGTTTATGATTATACAATGGATTTAAGTCACTTATATATGTTTCTGTACACTTAGTTGTAGAGAAACTATAAGTAAAGTATAACAATTAATTGAATGTCATATTTTTATGACTTTTTTACTTAATTAAATGTCATATTTGTATGACTATTTATAGTAAAAAACTGAAAATATGATTTTTTCTCATAAAAATTCTTGTAATGTTATGCAATGTCCCCAACACTGTGTTTACCAATGAGATCTGTTTGGTGACCCTGATTTCCTTTAACTATCAGACACTTCCCAAAATGTTTCCCTCACTAAAGAGTTGAGGAAAATAGTAGTACTGTACTTTATATGAGTACTAATACAATTATGAGTCATTAGTTTGTAAAATTTATCTGTTATCTTAGCACTAGAGAATATTTGTAAAACTGAAGTAATAGTTGTCATATGAATAAAATAATCTAACTTGCAGACTCCTGACCCAGTCACCTGATGTTGACTTGTCACATTAGATCATGACTGGGTGGTTTCTGAATAAGATGCTCAGTTCTCACGCAGATACGATACAGTGAGAAAGTCACACCGAGCTAACAGGTTCAATTTCAGGAATTTTATTCAGAAAAATAATTGCAGTTCAAGTACTGTACAGACTTTAGGTATAAAGAGCACAGGTACTGTACAGTAATTTGAATGTTGTGACTGTATCATCTCACAATTTGGGTGCCTTAACACTGCTGTATTGTCTTCTCTTTTAGGTTGTTGTTGCTAGTACTGTAAATACTGTACAGTACAGGTGTTTGTCTTATATAGTTGTTAAGTGACTGATTCCTTGAGAAATTTTCCAAAGCAAAAATTTGGTTACAGCAAAGTGTTTATAAATTTTTTGAACATTTAATATGATGTACATCATTGTAATTTGGAAATGATTGTAACTGTCTTTACTTTGATTATTACAAGAAATTAAATTAGTTTTGACATGAAATAGATATTAAGTGGATGTTATGTAAAGTTAATGTGATTTTGTGATCCTTATATGACAAACTGTATACAGTCCATTCCAGTACAGTGCAGTACAGTATAGTTCAGTGTTTAGTTTGGGATATTAGTGGTTTTCTTTTTCATCAGTTCTTTCATAACAGATATTCAGAATTTAATTATTTTTTTGTATCTCCTGTTGGGACCATCGACCCAATGGGGGGTATGTACTGGGATAGGTGACATGAATTAACAAATTTCTAATCTCATGTGGGCTATTCCCCATAAAAAAAAGAAGATATACCAATACTTAAGGATGGATAAAGAAAGGGCAACCAATGAGGTCAACGAAGTACTGCACTGTACAGCCACACACCTGGTGGACCTGTCATTCAGTGGTTGACATAACCATTGCAAACAAAGGCTCATCTTATGAGTAAAATAATTCGCTAATATTATGGAAAGATAATGTAAATTGACTATTTCTGCAAACTATTCATGAATATTCTTGTTACAAGAGAAACAAATGTGTTGATTTTATGAGAACAATGGAATGTGCAGAAGTCTGTTCTTAATAACCTGAAGTTTTCATTCTTTACACCTCCTATTAAAGGTACAGGTCTTTAAAATAATTAAAAACAACTATAAAATAGATTCATAAATGTCCCTTTTCTTAAACATGTACAGTATATTGTATATTTTGATGGGGGTGTTGAAAGTGCTAATTACTTGTATATCAGCCACCTGTTCTTACTTTAATTTGTCCAAGTTGAAGTCTAACTTGTATAATCTTTACTTCCCATTGTCTCAATTATATCTTTCCACATACCGTACTGTACAGTACTGTACTCCTCTTCTTTGATTTCCCCTTTATGTACGGTATCAGTAATGATTTGTATATTCTTTCTCTTTAGCCTGGTCCTCATTCCTTGTGCACATTGATATCCCTCATTTAATATGCATTTGTTCCTAGCCACAAAATGCTTAACTATATCCAGGGTGTCTACTGGTCTGGAAAACCTGGAAAAACCAGGGAATTGTACAAATAAACCTAGAATTTTATGTAAATTTAGTTCACCTTCAAAATTTTGTTATTTTGACAGCAATCTTACTATAAATTAATGATGTACTGTACTGTATTATAGGTAAATAATTAAACTTTTAGGAACAGATTCTAGTAAATAGTCCACTCCAATAACTATCATATTTCATGTTAGTGATCAAATAACCAAATATTACAGGTTATACCTACTAATTCTGTAATGAGTATTGTCAGAGATGAATTGTTCTTATAATTAAGTGACTTTATTTAAGTGGATTATTCCACATATTAATCACGAATCATATAAGTGGATCAGGAGTGTGATTTTCCGATTTTGCCGGGTTTCCAGCTTCTTTGGAACGTCCAGATCAACCCACGTGAATTTCACAAATCCGAGAAGAAAAATATGGAGGTGGGGGTGTGAAGGTCTATGCCGATATTCATCACTAGGCTTGAGGTGGGTCACAAAAGGGTCTTCAATGCCTTGATTAATATCATTTATATCATCTTTAAATTTTTTAATAGTATATATATATATATACATATACAGTGACCCCTCCGTCAACGAACTCAATCCGTTCCAGAAGGTCGTTCGTTAACCGAAAAGTTCGTTAACCGAAACCATTGTTTCAATGGGTTTTTGGGTAATTGGTTCCAGCTCACCGAAAATTTCCTAAATTCAAAAAAAATGGTAGAAAAGCTCACTTACTTTGAGGTGTGTATGTAGAAGGCTCCTGGATGATGATGATGATGATGATGATGATGGGAATTAGAATGGGGGTGGAGGAGAAGGAAGAAGAGAAGGCATTGGGGTGGAAAAGAAGTCACCCCATGGCACCATTTCACCCATAAAATTTTAGTTCTCTTGGTGTAATTCAAGATTATTTTCTTTAAATCAACACTGCACTGCATTATATATTGTCAATATGTAAAATATATTTCAAAATGACCAATAATTTGCTTGGAAACACAGAAAAAAAGCGTTTAGTTGAAGAGAGTCTCAAGCAAGATGTTACCTCCACTGAAAACAGAGAGAGACTAACGCCTGTTTGCTGTGTTAATAGGCTGGATGCCGCGCATTAAACTAGTCACTTTACCTTCAATTATGTTCAATAATTGTTAAAATGACTAAAAAATTAAATGTTAAACTTTTAAAATTATTGAATAGTATAAACTTCTTGATATTTACTAAAATAGTAAGGAATTTAAGCCCTAGAACCGATTAATGTATTGGCGGACTGATACTAAAGCTGGTTGCCCGGTCAGTGCAAGCGAAAACATCGGTTGATTCGTTAACCGAATTTTTTAGATTAACGAATTGAAGATCCTTATGGAAGGTTAGTTAACGAAATGTAGATTAACGGCGTTAGTTAAGCGAGGGGTATATATATATATATATATATATATATATATATATATATATATATATATATATATATATATATATATATATATATATATATATATATATATATATATATATATATATATATATATATATATATTACTGAAAACCTCTAATTTTGTTATTCTGCCATAATAAATGCTGAATTAATGTACCTGGAATTTTTCAAATTTACGCCTGAAAAACCTGGAAAAGTCCGGGAATTTTGTTTTGTCTGGCCAGTAGACACCCTGATCCCACATTTTTTTTAAACATTGTACAGCAGTTTTATTTTACTTCACTATAAGGTGTTATCTTGAGACCTGTTGACCCATCTTTTTAACAAATTAATAGTGCTGAATGATCTTGATGTTGCAATACTGGGTAATATTTGTGTACAGTAGTTGCAGTAATTTGATCAATTTCAAGAAAATGCCATTCTTTTGGGTGATTACTGGATGCTTAAAACTTTCCACCAGGTTCCTGGGTTAGCATATGCTGGAGAAGAAGACATGTTGGCCCAATTCCGTATCAAGTACCTTCAACAAATGGGAGAGTTTCGACAACTGAGCTTCATCCCTGTTGACTCCTTGCAGAGGTCCCTGCCTAGACCAAAGCCTCGGGGCCGCAAGAGCCAGGAAAATCCCTCAGTCAAGAAAGATGCTCCTGAGGTGAGTGGATGCCGAGTCCGTATACTAATATAGTGTAGTTATTAAAGAAACAAGAATAACCAAATATCAGATATAAGCTACATTAGTACCGGCTGGATAAAAAGTTATCTTATTGAATTTTTCAGTCAGTCAGTCTCAAGAATTGGTGTTGATAGGACTGGCTGACTGCTTTTATGGATAACTCCTGAATGGGTGACAGTAGAAGTAAGAAATAATAACCTTAGAAGCCATATACTGTACATAGGGTAACAAAGTAGCTTCAGGAAATACACTACTGTATAGACATTAGTGAAATAACAGAGAAGGAAAGAAAGCGACATAAGCCAGAAAAGTGCAAATGAAGGAAATGTTTAGATACAGAGTGGGAAAGTACAGATCTTGGGAATGATGAAGTGGAGTTTGAAAAAGCTTGATCAGCCAGTGTGTGATCCTGTAAAGTGATTGTGGTTAAGTTGTGCAGAACAGAATATTTCATTTATTATTTGAAGTTTTAAGAACTAGCTGCTAATTTGGTAGCCTTGTGGTCGTGGAGGATTGTAAAAAATCATTGATTTGTGTTTCTAAATACAGACATGGATTTTTTGATAATGTGTTTCAGTCAGTGAAGAAGAAAGTGTTAGGCAGTTACCCAGTAGAGTTGATCTATGTGGTGACTGAGGTCCACACGCCAGCTGAGGTGATGGAACTGACGCTCTACCCGGGAGACCATGTTGCCCTCCTCAAGAATAAAGATCCTCTGGGCAGGTCGGACCGCTGGTTCATGGATGATGGAGGCAAGTTCTTGCTATTGTAGTATGTTTTTATGTGCACATAAGTTAAAGTGATTAACCCTTCATGAATGAAATGAATGAGGATAATTTCAATGGTTATGTAACATAAGTCTAAACACTAAAGGGATAGATTGTATGATGATAGATGAAATGAAGTAGCTAATGTGAAAGTGACCAATCACAATACATCATCTTGACAATCAGCTAAGCAATAAATTACCTTATGGTAAGATGATGTACTGTACTGTATTCTACATTTCATTGATAATACTGTATGTCAACTGTGGCATGTATTTAAATTTTAGGGCTCACCTCAGTATGTTGCTTGATGAAAGATATCAATTCAACTTTGAGTTTCTCTTGTATTGTAGAAGTCATGAATATTGTTGGCCTGGTGAATATGGCAGGGCTGATGCTCTATCTAAGAACAGGGCAATGAGGGCTAATTCCATTCTCCTTTTCTTGGAATTTTTACTTTGGATTTTGTTCAAAAACCAAATTGTTTGTAAAATAATAGGATAATCTCCATCTTCTAGTGTATATATATATATATATATATATATATATATATATATATATATATATATATATATATATATATATATATATATATATATATATATATATATATATATATATATATATTGGAAGATGGAGATTATCCTATTATCTTACAAACAATTTGGTTATTGAACAAAATCCAAAGTATTGAAATGAGACCCTACAGAACAACAGATCCTTGTTTTCCATTAACCCCTTGTATATGGGGCATCTCTCTTTGTTAAATAAAATTGTCTGGCATTAGCCAAATAGAATATTAAAAAGGGCATCCCTGTGTGCTGAATAGAATCATCTGGCATTAGCCAAATAAAATATTGTAATTGTCGTCCTATAGTGAAGGGGTTAAGGGCCCACTGTATGTGTACAATATATATGTGTAAGTATAATATTTATTGTAATGGTGTTTGCAGATAACAAGGGCTTTGCAAGGGCAGCATTTCTAAGACCCCTCCAAGGACAGGAGAACAGGATGGGTGTGGTCACAGCTTTACCATCTGCAACATCACACACAGTAACACCTACACTACCTGTCCCTGCTCCCACACCCCGGCCATCCACCCTCCCACGTGCTGCTCCATCACCGCCCATACCTGAACGTCCACCACGCTATGAAGATCTGTTTCCCACCAGCACATCTTGTGGTCCTTCACAATTTACAAGTTTCTCAGCACAGGGACAGCAGGCTCCCCCGCCTCGCTACTCTCCAGGTCAAGCTCCTCAAAGTTCCTTGAAACAAGCTCCTCTGCCAAGTAAACCTGGCTATCATGAACAGATGCCTAGCACTTCTCTTCATGACTCACAAGTGTCTGAAAGTGTATATTACAGCCCACCTTTAGATAGACAGCAGTCACATGAATATAATTCTCCTGTTTCTGAAGATACCAACATATATGAAGAAATTGACCAGGTTTGTTACATCTGTATTTGAAGTGAAGAGACTTTTTAGTTAACTTTTGAGGATTAGCATTTTGTTCTGCACTATTTATTTGGAACTAGATTGTATTTGGCAGAGTTGTAAAAAGTACCAGATTTTGTTACTTAAGTAAAAGTATTGTTACATTGGCAAAATGTTACTCAAGTCGAATTAAAAGTATTAAGAGTTCAGTGTACTCAAGTATAAATAAAAGAGTATCTCATTCATAAAGTACTCAAGTACTGAAAGTAAAAATTGACAAAAAAATTATTAATCGTCTCAGATATTAAAATCAATCCACAATAAAAAAAACCCTCATAATATTACACAGGTTTATTTGCCAATTTTTCTATTGAGATTATCAATAACCAATTCTCAAAATTATGGCTGTCCAATTGGGGTCTTTTAGGCCTAAATATAAGTCCAGCATGACTAAACAGACGCTCACAAGCAGCATATGTGAAGAAACTCTTATGATTGGTTAGCTTCTAAGTTTGTCCTGTGTCCTGGGATTGGATATTTAAAACTTTTTTGTTTGGGGCATGTCACGAATAACATTTATTTTTTATTTAGAGTAAAAGTATTAGAATACCATACTTATGTAAAAGTATTTTGGCAAATAGAAGGTTAATGCTTTATTTTTAATATTATTGCATTACTAAAATAAGATGAGAAAGCCTTAATATCACATGTCTTAGTCCACATAGAGCAGATTAAAGTTACAAACAATTGTATTTTTATTATTGTTTTACAATTTGTAGGTCACAAAATTGGTGGTACAGCGGTAACGCGCATAACTCTCACCAATATGTCAAGGGCTCGAACCTTGGCTCACACACGTGAGAAGGTGTTATCCAGTGTGACCCTCACTACCAAACACCACAGGTTTCCCGGTTTCCGGTTTCCTCCTGTACTAACACTGGATAGACCGCCCAAACGGCTAGTAAGCTGATAAGCGGCGAATATGAAAAAAAAAATATAACCATTTAAAGATGAAAGTACGTATAGTTTAAAGTTACATAAGAATATTATCGGACTTCAGGGTACAGTGAATAGTGTTGCTGATCAGGAAGAGGAGGGTAGAGACAGTAGCCCGATCTATGAGGTTATTGAAGACGGTCAGCTGGTTCAAGATTCTGGTGGCATGAATATCGACATGCAAGCAGATCTCCCTGGACTGGCACCAGAGGAACCTCAGGTAAAAATTAGTCAAATAAATGTTCTTGTCCATTTGTTTTAATGCATGGACAGTTATAGATATCCACTTATTCTTCTTTTAACTTTAATTGTGTTGAGATAAGGACATGGAAAACCTATTCATCCAATATACGTACTGTAGTGACTCACATTCACATACAGTATATGCCGTGGATTCACTTGCTCTTTGATTCATGTTTTCATTTCTTTTAGACTCAGGCTACTTGAATATGCATGATTGATTCTATTTTTATTTTGCAGTTTTATTTTGCCCTGTACAACTTTGGTGGTTCTGATGCCACCCAATTGAACTTGGTTGCTGGGCAAGTGGTGTTAGTTCTGCATGCCAAATCTTCAGACTGGTGGTTTGTTGAAGACCGTAATGGCAACCAAGGATATGTTCCAGCATCATACCTCACCAGTTACACTTAAAGTTGCCTTCCCTCACCAAATTGAGGATCTGTTCCATAATTCAATTACAGTAAGTTTGTGTTTTTATCTTGTGTGTATATTTTAGAAAATTTCTGTCTACCAAACCCAGATGGTACTATTGAATATGATGAAAGCCGGAGTTTTATGTTCTGAAGTTAGAATTGACACCAATTTCCATTAAATTAGGTGTAAACTCCAAGCTGCTACCTGACTCAGAACCGTGTACTGAGAGTAACCATCCTTGAGCATGCCATACTGAATAGGCCATTTAGTGTTCTTTTGTTCATCTTTTAATATTTCCTTACATACATATTTTAATGTTATAGTATACATGTAGTTGTACATAAGCAGTGTTGTGAAAACCTCACATATAAGAAACATGAAGCCAGTGGTGATATTATTCAAAACTGTTATTAAAATTCACGGAAGCATTTCTGGTAATCTGTCTATTTGGTCAGCTGCTGTACAAGTGCCCGAGAATTATCTTATTTTTATAGTTGATTGGGGGGAGGGGGGTTGAGAAACAGGGCTGAGAGACTCCTGAGTGCTAGTTCATTGGACACATGCAAATACCAGTATTGTACTAATGACATGTTAAGTCAGATGTTGTTAATGAACTGTGAACTGTAAATGTACATTAAATATCACCAACTGGCATGGATGAAGACAAACAACATAGCTTTTGTAATTGGGTCTGTACAGTAATGCTCTAACTATTCATTGGAACATGAACACAGAATATGCTAGAATGTAAAGTTTCTAACATGCATATTAAAAAACGTGTAAAGTAAACTCAGTGAAGAGGAGTCAGCAAAAATTGTGTTATCTAATACCTGAGCTCAGTGACTACAGCATTACTGCCCAATGTCTGAAAAAATGATGAATAGGTTATACATATACTCTGAGTCTTTGACAGTGAAGTACTGTACTATATTTTACAGCATATAAGATACACCCATATTTCAGCAGGGAATATTTCAGAAATTTTTTTTGAATGTATCTTAAGCATTTAATGTTTACTTCTGCAAACATAATTTTTTATGTAGGTTGTGGCCCATACACTCATTCAGCGTCTCGGTTTCCATGCTTCGTCATATGGTTTACCACCTTAAGTTTGTAGCTTCTAGTGTAGCTTAATACTTTTTTCTCATTAGTCATAGTATTGTTAAAATGAGGGTAAACTCAGCTGTTTTTATTATCTTCCTTACTCGTCATACTAAGCACTCCAGAAACACTAAATGGCTATTGAATACACTAGTCTTTGCTATATACTAACGGATGGTGTTACGTACTTGCTACTGAGAACAAACGCGCTGCATCAGCTGTGTCCGTGATTCCCTATTACCGTTATAATTTTAAGTTACTTTAAATATCTAAATGATGCTTCCTTATAAAAATGGTAAGAGAAGTGTTGCAGATGCGTGCAAGTGAAGTGGACAGTAATGCTTATAGGATTTCAGAAATATTTTCTGATTATCAATGTGGAGTTGGGTGTACCATTATGCCAAACAGTTACTAATCACCTCAAGTTACCATCATTATCAATTATAAATCTAACTTTTATTTACAATAATTCTTTAACTAATTAAAAGTACATTAATCATAAAGTATATAAGAAAACAATAACATATTTTTAATTTTGGAAATGGGCTAGCTAGAGTAGCCTACTAGAGATGACAACTGGGGGATTCTTTAACCTACTAGAGATGACAACTGGGGGATTCATTAACCTACTAGAGATGACAACTGGGGGATTCATTAACCTACTAGAGATGACAACTGGGGGATTCATTAACCTACGGGAAATGACAGCTTCACATGCTGGACGTAAGGTGATTTTTTGAGACATTTTAAGAAAAAAAGAAATGCTTCTTATTTCCCGTGAAATACAGTAAGGTTTTACATAATTTTTCTTATGCCTATTAAGGAATTAGTATTTGTACAGTACAGTACAGTATATCATGTGTTTTCGACCTAATAGTTCTGTTGGACACTCATTGCCCTTCACGTAATAATTGTTTGTTAATCTACTGAATCTTTCTTAAACCATGTTAGAAAAATAATCCTAAAGCTTAGCAGAAATTTTATGGTATAAGTATAGTGTTAGTTTGTTTACCACATCAGAGTTGAATTCTTATTCTCAAGGGCTTTTATTAAAAATGGTCATATGTGTTGCTTCCATCAACTACGTGTATGTACTTGTTCTGCACCCTTGGGTCTGACGGCCTTTGCAACAATCATTGACTGAGGCCATGTTAATTTGGTAAGGTTGGTACTAATGATTATGCGATACATTGTGTAATCAATACGATGTATTCTGTACTCTGTATCATGTATAGTTAATTCAAAGAAAATAACAAGAATCACCCTTGTAAATGACTATTATTTAGAATTCTTGGTCTGGTGTGTCATATTGTATAATGCCATAAAGGTGCAGAAAATTTTTTGTTGACAAAAATGTGTCATATTCTTCAGTTAATGTTTAACTCACAGCTATTTCTGGAGGGAAAATTGTGCTAATTTAGTGTTGTTTCGTGTAAAGATGTACTTTCAGGAACACATAACCAGCGATAAGTGAGGACCCCTTCATCATCCCCTGTACTCTGCAATAGGTTTATGATTTTGATGGCATGTCCAAATTCCTCATTCTATCAGTCTATCGTGACTATTTGTGTATGTTAATGCTATTTTATTTTTTCATAATAGTTTCTAACAGATTTATTTCACAGTACAGTATATATAATTTCTGATTACAGTATAGTCTGCATTTACACGGTCAATTGAACCCGTAGAGGTCCGCATAAAACGAGAAACGCGTAAACGAAATAACAGAACATATGGGATTCATTGAAATAGAGACTGGGCCGACTCCCAAACTCCACTTTTTCCGACACAATACATACGTTGTAGTAAAAATAACATCTTAATTATATGATGGTATGCACTCACTTACGTTAGTAGAAAAGATGGCTGGGCACACGGGGATGGGGGGTTGGTTCCGAGGCAGAGGGCAGATTATTGGCCCTCACCTGTATCACTTGTATCAATTGTATCACTATCCACCACAGGGGATTGCAGGGCCTCTTTGTCAAACCCCTCAAAGTCCATATCCTCACTATCACTGACTTGGGCCGGCTGTGGTGGGTGGCGGGTGAAGAACTCTGTAATGTTTTGATGACTGGGCGACCTTGTGCATACCCTGCCCACTCCGCTTCCCTCGTAAATGATGAAATTTACCGCGTAATTAAAACATTTCATTCTGGCAAGGCACGGTGTAAATGACCAAATGCGTAAACAAAAACCGCGTAAATCCAGACTATACTGTATACTGTATCTGGACGTATTTTCATGTTAAATTTTTTTTTTAAGTACCGTATTGTATGGCATAAAAGACCCTCCCCCCATTTTAGTAGTTGTGTATTTTCCTCCTGTATCCATAGTTTTCTTAAAACAATATACAGTAAAAGTCCAGAAATCCGGACCACCTGAGAATCCGGACTTTTCGAAAACTCAAACTTAACAACTTTTTTTTTTTTTTTAGCTGGCTTTTGTGTGCATGCGTGAGCGCCACAGCTGCACAGCAACCACACGGTCGCCACTTTAAAACGAGCAATCAAACTGTGACAATGTATGTAATTTTGAATCCTACTCATTCCATTTACAGAGTACTGTACAAGCCCATAATAATGGCTCCTAAAGTAGATAAACTTCGTTGTGTGAAGAGAAAGAAGAACACATTGAAATTGAGTGACAAACTTGAAATAATTAAGAAACTAGAACGTGGTGTGAGCAATACTGTTCTAATGGAAACATATAACATTGGAAAGTCTACAATTTATGATATAAAAAAGGCAAAGAATAAAATTTTAGAATTCACAGCTTTATCTTTAAAACTGCTCTTTTAGATAAATGAAGCATGCTATATTTGCTAATGAATAAACTATCAAAATGTACCTGTTCATATCTTCTTTATTTCTCCTGAAATTTGAATTTTAAAAGTACTGCCTGAGAATCCGGAAAATCCAAAAATCCGGACCGACCCAATCCCCAAGCAGTCCGGATTTTTGGACTTATGCTGTATACAGTACCAGTAAATGTGAGGAATGAATGAAAATACTGGAATACCAATAAATAAATTACAAAAAAATGCTCAATTGCCAAATCAGGAAATAAAAGCCAAATGAAAGTTTAACACAAGTCAAGATTTGCATATATTGTACTGTACATTTGCACTCCCTGTTCACCGTAGCAGCTGCGACGCTATCTCTGCCGATTCCCTAGCAATGCTCCCTCCCCACCACCAACCCTCCCAGCCACCCTCCTGCTCCCCTACTGAGCCAGCTAACTCTTGTGCAAAGAAATGTATATTCCTTTTATATGTTTGCCCTTAGGACTATTATTTCTTTGACTTTTTTCACAACATGTATGTTGGATGGTAAAAATAAATGAAGAAAGTTACGTATAGGTATATCTCCCCGAAAATATGAGTTGAAAAAGAACAGCTTGGCCCAGTAGCCCGGTGGTTACAGAGACGAGTCTAACCTGGCTACAATGTCGCCAGCAATGTTAACAGATGTAAATGTGAAAAGAAAGTAATTTGTAAATCTTCATTTGTATCAGGTGTTTGTAGATTGAAAAGGAATGTTGCAGGTATGGCATTAACAGATTGTAATGCTTGTAAGAGTTCAGAAATGGTTACTGCTAAGCTACCTTTGAAGAGTTGGGTGTCTGCCGTACACACATTAATCGTCTCAGGGTATCGTCATCAGTACAGTCCAGAGTAATTACTGTATTATTGATCGACCTTTTATATTTACACTAATTATTTTTTAATTAATTAAAATTATAATAATTTTTGCAATAACATATTTTTAATTCTGGAGTTGGGTTCGGTAGAATTTTGCCTACTGGAGACAGCAACTGGGGGATTCATTAGCTTGTGGGAGACTGCAGCTTCACATATTGGATGCAGGCTGATTTTTTTTGCCATTTTTTAGACAAAAGGTCATCTTATAATTTATGCCATAAAATACGGTAGTTAAATCTCCTGTTACACACCAGCAAAAGCAAATTTCTTTTGACATTAATGATGGAAACTCCTTTTTTGTTAAACTGGGCTGAGGTATTGTTGTGATATATCTATACACAATTATTGGATAAAATGTATTGGTGTTTATTCTAGATAAGATGTTCATGATGTCTGGTACATGAATCGTTCAGTATGTGTACAGTACAGTACAGTACAGTACAGTCTTCTCTTCCATGGAATTAGCGGGAGATTATGACCTGGATGGGCCATTTTGTCAGTGCTATGCTCAGGGGATAATGATGTTTTTTACTTTTGTTATTTCTGGGTTCCTTTTAAATTAATTAGGTTAATGTTTATTGTTGGTTACTTGTGTCTTTAGCAGAGTACAACCATTACCAAAGCTTAATATATAAAATTGGCATTATTAAATTGTTATGAAGTTGGCCAGTTAACAAGACTTATATGATGATGTTGAAATTACACTTGTGCTGTTTTTTATTAACCCATTGTGCACTACGTATTTAGCACAGAGAAACCCTCATGCATAAGGGATTAATAGTGTAACATAACTTTTAAAACACAGCACAAGTTTTGCAATGTGATATTTTGAATGTTCACAAGAGTGGTAAGTATTTGGCTGGTGGTTTTGAATTTTATTTTCAGTTGGAAAATTTTAATTTTAGACATGAATTTATATTAAAGGATTTAATTAAATTAATATTTTGTAATTCAACACTTTAATATATTTAAAAAAAGATCAAGCATTCCAATTATACTGGGTACAGTAATTTTTATATTACAGTATTATTACTATTAAATTTTTTTTTAATAATTATGTACAGTGCAGTATATCCTTGATTTAAATGGGAATTCGGCACACACACACACACACACACACACACACACACACACACACACACACACACACTACTCACACACACTACTCACACACACTACTCAAGCTGCTTTCACAGGAGGCATTAACAGACCTAGGAGTTTCCCAGAATATTTCGAGAGAATTCATAAAAATATAAAAAATGACCGGAATCTCCTCGTGACAACACTGCATGCTACTATTTTACACATAGAATGATGGAAAAGTAATAAATTAAAAAAAAACACTACATACTGTATGTACCTTTAGTGTGGGGTGTAGTGGCCAAGTAAAGCTTGTTAAGCAAATGTGTATCAAGTAACTAATGTATTTCTGTTCAGTGAAACCTCCATATAATGGATTTCTCTCTCCATATAGGTCGTAAGTTGAAATGGTTGTAAGTCGGAAATGCTTAAATAACACTTAGAAAATCTAAAATGGGTGTCTCTTTTTCTTCTCAGTACCACAAAACACTCACTTTTAAGCTTGCCAGCCATTTTAAAATGAATTACAGATGGAAATTTTGTCTGTGTACTGACTTTGGGACTCAAAAATACATAATTTGACCCAATTTTTTTACGACTGAGGCAGGTCGTAAGTGCTGGTGGACGTAAGTCGAGTAGGTCGTAAGTCAGGGAGTACCTGTAATCTCTATATTTTTCGTTAAAGGAAGGTTTTACATGGAACGGACCCTAGATATAACGGAATTTCCTCTCCATATAGTCTGTTAAATAGAGGTTTTACTGTACAGAGTAAAGTATATTGAAATTGTGAAGACATCACTCACAAATCAAGGTTTTACTGTACCGATGTCTTTCTATATCTACATATTCACTGTTTAATTACATATATTATTTTTTACTTGAACTTGGGGGCTGAATGATTATATGAGCCCCAATCTTGTTACATTAGAATTGAGGGGGTGGGGGGCTTACCCTAGTGAACAGGTTGGAGCCCCATTTAATTTGCAATTAAATGTAATACAGGTATGTTAAAAAAGTTTACAAATGCAAGAAGAACTCATGCACTTCAGTTTCTTGTATGGTTCATAATTTTATTGTCACTTTTGTAGTAAGTGGATTCAATTGGGTTTTTGCACCAACTTGGCATTCTTAGTTTGACTCATTCCAGCTTTTTTATAGAAGTAATTTCTCATTGGCCTCCTGAGATGTGTGTGTAATATTGTGAAGGGTGAATGTAATTATTTCATCACATTCTAAAGAGTGTAATTCTCAACAAATTTACATTGCTCAAGTATGTATGTACATATATAAAGTTCTGCCATTAAAATTTTTGTAGGGTTATTGCAATAATTGATGAATTTTATGGCTTTTCCATTTTATAGTGTAATTAATTGCTGGTCCTGTTAATTTCTGATAACAAAAAACTATTATGCTCATAAACTGAATGTGTTCAATGTTCCCGCCAATTTTATAGATTTGCTGGTAGTACTGTAACTTAATTCTTAATTACTTCACTAATTACCATAATGAGGATTTTAATGGAGAACTGAATATATAATGAATCCATGACATGTATTCCTAATTGTGTTGTGACAAAACAATCAATATTAAGGAAAAGCTTTTATGTTTAGAGTTGGTCATTTTATTCTGTCTGTAATATATTTATTTTGAATACCGGGTATTAACTTCTCTTCAATAAAATTTATTTTACATACTGGCACTGTATATCAGTTGTTAATATTGAGACTTCATTTATCTTGTATTATGAATTTCCCTTGTACGTAATGTTTTTGAATATAGACTATTTTGACATTAAACTTGTAAAATAATTACTCCTATGTTATTATGATAGTACAGTACAGTGTTCCCTCACACTGTCTATTTTGTGCTGAAGATGAATGATTTTAAGTTAGTTATATTATTTACTGATCACCTCAGTGGTATAAAGGTTTATGCATCAACGTGCTCTTCTACTGACCCAAGATCAACCCCAGGGTAGACCAGGCAGGTTCCCATGAGAGTTCAGGTCAAATTGAGGGGGAAAAACTTTACTCATATGACCTTCACCAAACTGACAGTGGCCAAATTCACTAATTACCATAGATCCCTACAACAATGAATCACTCCAGTTTGCGATGCCTGTAACCGAACTTATCGTACAGCATAAATTACAACAGTCCCCGAACACCTGTAAGTTTCCATAAGGCAGAAATAAGGTCATGTAACTTCCATTTCCTCTACTATACAACCTGTACTAAAGCACACACAGCTGTGAAAATGGAACTAATGATTGCTTTAACTCATGATCGTGCACTCCAGAGGAAAATGGTGTTTAAGGATTCTTTGCACCTTCTATAAATTGATGACCACCTACTGTTATGGTACTACAGATTTCCATGTACGAATAAACTGTACTCTGGCTCGATATTGGTCGAGCGGCAAGGAGGTCTCATGTGGTCCCAAGATTCCCAACGCATAGGTCTGTGTTAATAGCTTTGAGGCTTTTCGCAAGTGGTAGTTTCCAGAGTGTAGTTGATGACGTTGCTAGCTTAAACCAATCAACTGTGTCAAGAAGTATAAATTGCCATTTGCTCCAAAATAAAAGTAATAATAATAATAATTATATTATACTATGGTATTATATTATTATTGCAGTACTATAGTGATATCTTCATTAGCCGGAACAATTGGTGCAGAGCACTTCCGGGAATGAGAGATTTCCGGGTAACGGGACGACTCTCTCAAAGCGGGAAAAAACCCCCATCCCCGGATTTTCTGGAATTTTTCGGGTATAGGGAAAATTTTCTTGGAATTTTCCAGAAAATGTGCTCCTCGGAAAATCACTCCCAAAGTCGGAATTTTCCGGAAAATTCTGCCTTTGGGAACGATTTTCCAAGAAAATTTCAATTCTGGCTATCGCAGAGTTCCGGGTTTGATTGATTCCGGCTAACGGAGATATTACTGTACAGTACTTTATTATCATTTTTAATATAACATTAATATATTTATTATTATTATTATAATTTTTTTTCTAATTAATAATATTATTATTATTAACGGAAATTTCATCGAAGAAATTCAGCCGACTTTTCTTTGAAACTTGTCCGTTCATTGTACGATCAAAGTTCACTCATGTTAGTGAATTTGTGCCAAGGTATCTAGCCTACTGTGGGGTCCCCTTGTGTGGAAGAGGTGTTACACTAGCCTACCATGGGGCCCTCTTGTGTGGAAGAGGTGTTACACTAGTCTACCATGGGGCCCTCTTGTGTAGAAGAGGTGTTACCTGTTACATCATTTACTGATAAATATCATATCTACATTATTACAGTCACTGACATGCACTATTCACTGTCCTCATAGTGTAACGAATGGTTGCAAGAAATTACTGGCTCCTGAGATTATATTGAAGTAAATATTGCAGACAAAATTCCCTGCTTGGACCAGGATGAATGGGATTCTGACTTTTTTTTACATGATTTTAAATTCACAAGCTAAATCACCCATATTGCCAAGTGCTCACGGAATTTTGTCTACATTGTATATTATGTTCATCTTTATACCATATGTAATTTATGTAATCGATATTGTTTTCATTATTTATATACTAAGGACAAAAGGCTCTAGATTAAACTTCCTCATATATAACATTACCAAGAAAGTGACTGATGTATATATACAGTAGTCGGACTTGGACTACAATCATGTCACCACTATTTTAATAGTGCTATGAATTACCTGTGATAACCACTATGTATTCTGACATGTTATTATTGATAACTGAAGTATATAATTTGACAAGCAACTACCTTTTACTTTCCTTCTATACTGCTAGGAAATTAAATTGGATATCGTATAGAAGACTGTATAGTGTTGGATATCTTATAGGAGACTGTATCGTGTTGGATATCTTATAGGAGACTGTATAGTGTTGGTTACCGTATAAGAGGCTAATTATCGTTGGATTTTCTGTAGATTCCTAATCTTGGAAAAATGGTAGGCTACATATGATATACTATTGTGTATACAGCCAACATTCCTTTGGATCTTCCAATGTATCTCACGTTCCCTGATGAGGCTTTTTTATACCCCCAACCGATAGGGGTTCCGTGGACCACTGAGATAGAGCAGACAAGAGAAGAAGAAATAAAAGCAATCAAAAAAATAAAATGCGAGATGAGGAAATAAGATGAAGAAATTTGAAATGTTTAGAAAAAAAGGAATCCATGAAATAAAATAGTTATTACAGTAAATTCTACTTGTTATCACATTGAGCAATCTTTCCTCTTCTGTTATCTAATCTCTCCCTTAGTGTTGGATATAACATCATGGCCAACAGTCTATCAATCATGTGCTAAACTGGGTGTGGGGAGGCATGTGAAGCTCATTTCCCACCTCCCTGTAGGTGTGGTAGGACGTTTCTCAGGTCAGTGTCTAACAAACAATGGAAAATAGTTTGGCAAATGCACAGAGGGAGTATCCCAAGAGTAGAGGTAAGTGTTAATGGTGGATCAATACTATCTTGTTACTACAGTCTATCATCTACACGGTTTCCTGCCCCCCTCAAGAAAGTCGGCGCCCTCAGCGACCCTCCCAGGAGCGGCAGCACCCCCAGGGGCCCTAAAAGGGGCAGCAGCACCCCTAGGGGCCCTCCAAGGAGGGGTGGCACCCCTAGGGGCATTGGAGCCCTACAGGCCCTCCCAGGGGCGACTGTACCCCCAGGGGCCCTCAAAGGGGTGGCGTTGACCCTAGGGCCCCTCCCAGATGCGGTGACGCCCCACTCAGCCTTTGCCAGGGTCTGTGGCACCCCCAGTGACCCTCCCAGGGGTGGTGCCAACCCCAGGGGCAATGCCAGGGGCGGTGGCTCTCTTATGGGCCCTTCCAGGTGCAGCGACACCCCAAGGGGTAGTGGTGACCCAAGGGGCTTGATTGTGGTATCGTACATATTGCACGAGTCCAACAATCCTTTACTTAACTGTGATTGGTGGACTGAAATGTAAATCCACCAAATTACAGCCAATAGGAGAACAGCGCAGTCAGTCAGCACAACACCCCAACATATATTTTCCTGTTGGATATTTATTCTCCTTTTCATTGTTCAGGATGTAATGATACTGGAAATGTGATGGGCGTTGTACTTATTTAACGTCATATCTCTCAGAGTTCTAAATAGTGCAAAAACAACTGCCCCAATGGGATCTCCCAGGAGCGACAGTACCCTAGGAACCCTCCCAGGAGCAGCGGTGTCCACAGGGGTCCTAAGAAGAGCGTCGGTGCCCCCAGGGGCCCAACCAGGGGCCCGCCTTATGGGTGGCAGTGACCCCAAAAGCGATGGCACCCACGGTTGCCCTCCCATGGGCGATGGCGTTCCCAGGAGCCCTTACAGGGGCGGTGATTCCCACGAGGGGCCTAGTAGGGGCGGTGGCGCCCCCAAGGGGCTTATCCAGGGATGGTGGCATTTGCAGGGGCCTTCGTAAGGGTGTCGGCGCCCCCAGGGACCCTCTCTGTGGCGGCGGCAGCCTCAGGGGACCTCCCATTTGCGACTGCGCCCAGAAGGATGCTCATAGGGTCGGCAGCGACCCTAGGGGCCCTCCCAGGCAAGTCGCCGACCCATGGGGCCGTGCCAGGGGCTGTAGCGCCCCCAGTGACCCTCTCAGGGATGGTGGCAACCTCAGGGGCAGTGCCAGGAGCGGTGGCGCCCCTAGGGGCCCACACAACGACGGCGGCACTCCTAGGGGCCCTCCCAGGTGTGGCAACGCCCCCAGAGGCCCTCCCAGGGGTGGCGTTGCAGCAGGGGCTTGGTTTTGGTATCGTACATAATGCATGCATCCAGCAAGCCCTTACTCAACTGTGATTGGTGGACTGAAATATAAATCCACCAAATTCCAGCCAATAGGTGAACAGAGCAGTCAGTCAGCACAACAACCCAACTTATGTTTTCCTGTTGGATATTTATTCTCCTTTTCATTGTTCAGGATGTGATGATACTGGAAATGTGATGGGCTGTGTGTACTTATTTAACGTCATATCTCTCAGAGTTTTAAATAGTGCAAAAACAACTGGCCGAAGGGAATCTCCCAGGGGCGACAGTGACCCCAGGAGCCCTCCCAGGAGCAACAGTGCCCTCAGGGGTCCTAAGAAGAGCGTCAGCACCCCCAGGGGACCTACCAAGGCCCCTCCTTAAAGGTGGCAGTAACCCCAAGGGCGGTGGGATACACAGTTGCCCTCCCAGGGGCGATGGCATCCCCAGGAGCCCTTACAGGGGCAGTGATTCCCCCACGGGGCCTAGCAGGGGCGATGGCGCCACCAAAGGCTTCCCCAGGGGCGGTGGCATTTCTAGGGGCCTTCCAAAGGCTGTCTGTGCCCCCAGGGTTTCCTCTCTGTGGTGGCGACGGCCTCAGGGGCCTCCCTGGTGCGACTATGCCCCAAGGCACCCTCATAGGGTCTGCGGCGACTGTAGGGTCCCTCCCAGGCGAGGTTCCGCCCCATGGGGCCCTGCCAGGGGCTATGGCGACCCAGTGACCTTTCCAGTGATGGTGGGAACCCCAGGGGCACTGTCAGGAGCGGTGGCGCCCCTAGGGGCCCACACAACGGCAGCGGCACTCCTAGGGGCCCTCCCAGGTGTGGCAGCGCCCCCAGAGGCCCTCCCAGGGGTGGCGTTGCAGCAGGGGCTTGGTTTTGGTATCGTACATAATGCATGCATCCAGCAAGCCCTTACTCAACTGTGATTGGTGGACTGAAATATAAATCCACCAAATTCCAGCCAATAGGTGAACAGAGCAGTCAGTCAGCACAACAACCCAACTTATGTTTTCCTGTTGGATATTTATTCTCCTTTTCATTGTTCAGGATGTGATGATACTGGAAATGTGATGGGCTGTGTGTACTTATTTAACGTCATATCTCTCAGAGTTTTAAATAGTGCAAAAACAACTGGCCGAAGGGAATCTCCCAGGGGCGACAGTGACCCCAGGAGCCCTCCCAGGAGCAACAGTGCCCTCAGGGGTCCTAAGAAGAGCGTCAGCACCCCCAGGGGACCTACCAAGGCCCCTCCTTAAAGGTGGCAGTAACCCCAAGGGCGGTGGGATACACAGTTGCCCTCCCAGGGGCGATGGCATCCCCAGGAGCCCTTACAGGGGCAGTGATTCCCCCACGGGGCCTAGCAGGGGCGATGGCGCCACCAAAGGCTTCCCCAGGGGCGGTGGCATTTCTAGGGGCCTTCCAAAGGCTGTCTGTGCCCCCAGGGTTTCCTCTCTGTGGTGGCGACGGCCTCAGGGGCCTCCCTGGTGCGACTATGCCCCAAGGCACCCTCATAGGGTCTGCGGCGACTGTAGGGTCCCTCCCAGGCGAGGTTCCGCCCCATGGGGCCCTGCCAGGGGCTATGGCGACCCAGTGACCTTTCCAGTGATGGTGGGAACCCCAAGGGCACTGTCAGGAGCGGTGGCGCCCCTAGGGGCCCACACAACGGCAGCGGCACTCCTAGGGGCCCTCCCAGGTGTGGCAGCGCCCCCAGAGGCCCTCCCAGGGGTGGCGTTGCCCCAGGGGCTTGGTTTTCTTATTATACATAATGCATGCATCCAGCAAGCCCTTACTCAACTGTGATTGGTGGACTAAAATATAAATCCACCAAATTCCAGCCAATAGGAGAACAGAGCAGTCAGTCAGCACAACACCCCAACTTATGTTTTCCTGTTGGATATTTAGTCTCCTTTTCATTGTTCAGAATACGATGATACTGAAAATGTGATGGGCGTTGTACTTATTTAATGTAATATTTCTCAGAGTTCTAAATAGTAGGGGTGGCAGTGCCCCCAGGATCTTGATTTTGGTATCATACATAATGCATGCATCCAGCAAGCCCTTACTTAACTGTGATTGGTGAAGTAAAATGAAAATCCACCAAATTCCAGCCAATAGGAGAACAGAGCAGTCAGTCAGCACAACACCCCAACTTATGTTTTCCTGTTGGATATTTAGTCTACTTTTCATTGTTCAGGATGCGATGATACTGAAAATGTGATGGGCGTTGTACTTATTTAATGTAATATTTCTCAGAGTTCTAAATAGTACAAAAACAACTGCCCCAATGGGATCTCCCAGGGGCGCCAGTACCCTAGGAACCCTCGCAGGAGCAGCTGTGCCCACATGGCTCCTAAGAAGAGTGTCGGTGCACCTAGGGGCCCATCCAGGGGCCCTCCTTACGGGTGGCAGTGACCCCAAGTGCAATGGCACCCACAGTTGCCCTCCCATGGGCGATGGCGTTCCCAGGAGCCCTTACAGGGGCGGTGATTCCCCCCAGGGGGCCTAGCAGGGGTGGTGGCGATCCCAGGGGTTATATCCAGGGATGGTGGTACTTCCAGGGGTCTTCATAAGGGTGTCGGCGCCCCCAGGGACCCTCTCTATGGCGGCAGCAGCCTCAGGGGACCTCCCAGGTGCGACTACGCCCAGAGGGACGCTCATAGAGTCAGCAGCAACCCTAGGGGCCCTCGCAGGCAAGTCGCCGACCCATGGGGCCGTGCCAGGGGCTGTAGCGCCCCCAGTGACCCTCTCAGGGATGGTGGCAACCTCAGGGGCACTGCCAGGAGCGGTGGCGCCCCTAGGGGCCCACACAACGGCGGCGGCACTCCTAGGGGCCCTCCCAGGTGTGGCTGCGCCCACAGAGGCCCTCCCAGGGGTGGCGCTGCCCCAGGGGCTTGGTTTTGGTATCGTACATAATGCATGCATCCAGCAAGCCCTTACTCAACTGTGATTGGTGGATTAAAATATAAATCTACCAAATTCCAGCCAATAGGAGAACAGAGCAGTCAGTCAGCACAATACCCCAACTTATGTTTTCCTGTTGGATATTTAGTCTACTTTTCATTGTTCAGAATGCGATAATACTGAAAATGTGATGGGCGTTGTACTTATTTAATGTAATATTTCTCAGAGTTCTAAATAGCAGGGGTGGCAGTGCCCCCAGGATCTTGATTTTGGTATCATACATAATGCATGCATCCAGCAATCCCTTACTTAACTTTGATTGGTGGAGTAAAATGTATATCCACCAAATTACAGCCAATAGGAGAACAGAGCAGTCAGTTAGCACAACACCCCAACTTATGTTTTCCTGTTGGATATTTAGTCTCCTTTACATTGTTTAGGATGCGATGATACTGAAAATGTGGTGGGCGTTGCACTTATTTAATGTAATATTTCTCAGAGTTCTAAATAGCAGGGGTGGCAGTGCCCCCAGGATCTTCATTTTGGTATCATACATAATGCATGCATCCAGCAAGCCCTTACTTAACTTTGATTGGTGGAGTAAAATATAAATCTACCAAATTCCAGCCAATAGGAGAACAGAGCAGTCAGTCAGCACAACACCCCAACTTATGTTTTCCTGTTGGATATTTAGTCTACTTTTCATTGTTCAGAATGCGATAATACTGAAAATGTGATGGGCGTTGTACTTATTTAATGTAATATTTCTCAGAGTTATAAATAGCAGGGG